TCAGGCATACGCACAGGCTCAGCAGGCAGCTTCTGGTCGTGCTGGAGGTCCAGTTTTGATACCTGTGCCCATGATACCAGCGGCAGCAAGAGCAGGAGCAGGAGCTACTTTTGGTTTTGACGCAGCAAGTGCCGACGATGGTCGAGAGTTCCAACGGCGTCGAGATCCAGAATTTCAAGTCGAGGATGAACAGAGGCAAGGCCAGAGCCAGGATGATCTTGTTCAGGAGATTCCACAAGAATTTGAGGACGTCCAGAATGTACAACCGCACAGCGAAGACGTCGGACAAAGCGTTCGATCAGAAGTAGACCATCTTGTTCCGGAGTCACTACAGGACGGGCATGCTGTTGACGGAACAGCATACCAGATGCAAAGCCCTGCCGATGCTGGTAGTTCTGCTGATGGCAGCAGAAGCAGATCTTCTAGTGGAGGTTCTAGAGATGGCGATGGCGATGCGTCTAGGCGTGGTGGAGCTGTTCCTGAAGCTGGTGAACAGGCACATATCGAAGAAGATGCACATGAAGATGGTGACGCTGAGGTTCTTGATGAGGGTTCTTATTACAGTAGGCCATCTTCCGCTTCTGGTTCTGGACCTGGAGGAGAGGAAGAGGAACAAGAGATGGAAGTGGATGAGCTTGAATTTGATAGATGGCATCAGTATGACTTGGAAACCCGTGGAATCGAAACCAGACTTCTCGGTGGCATAACCGTTGAAATGATGTTCCCTACCGATCTGCTGCCTTCAGCTTCACACCAGTCCCTGCAGCGTTCTCAGTATGGACGAAATCGAAATATGAGGGACAACGATAACGTCGAAAGGGATATTGTTGAGATTATCGAAGAAGTTCAACCTGGTGTATTTCTGACACCGCTGCATTACCTCTGGGCCACTCCGATCGACATTCACTCCCGGATTGCTACGCACAAAACGATGAACACGAAGAAAGAAGACGAATATCATGATGAGAACATGTTCAGACTCTTGCAAAGACATGCTGACTTTGTTGGTGGACGAGGTGTATCTGGACGTAGTGAACAGCGAATAGAAACACTAGAAGGACGAGAGCAAGAAGCGCAGGGCGATGAAATGTTAGGACCACAAGGGCAGGAGATGAAGCAGCGCCACGAGGAGCACGTCCATCTGAGTAACGGTTCTCAATCTCAAGGACTTGGAAGATATGAACAGCCAGCACACCAAGAGCTACTACCACCAGATGAAAAGAAAGTAGTCGATGAAGGCAAGAAAAACGCTGATGTTGCTGCGCGGCGTGTGCTGACGAGATTTTTCGTGCGACGATGCGGCGTGCCTGTGGGAGCGACTATTGGCCAAACTCGTGCCACCGTGTTGCACCTTGTAATTTCGCGGTTGAAAGATTACGTTGACAAGCTGCATGCGGAATACAAAACCCTGATAAATTCTCCTCTCAACATGATACCACCAACTACAACACGTGTAGATGGACTTCTACAGGAACAACAAGAAGCAATATTTTTACCCGAATCTTCATCTCCAGCTGTTGAAAGACTGGAGAATCTTCTTGCAGAAATGAAGTTAAAGAAAGCTGCTGCTAGTGCTGCAAGTGGAACAGCCCATTCCCAAGAAACAGCTCAACAAGAAGTTCTAGTAGAGCAGGGTCCCCTTGGTCATGCGCAACAAGCAGTCTCACCTGGTGGTGGACTTCTAGACAAGGCAGAAGTGGGAGAAGTAGCAGCAAGAGCAGCTGCATACGCATTGGACGACGGCGAAAGCACTACGAGAATCATGCAGGAGTGCGAGAGCCAGCTTCTGGATGAACAAGAAGGAGAATCACGACCTCGATCTCCGATGTTGGTGACAAACGACAACTTGGGCGAAGCTGGTGCTGCTCCTCACATCATGGATGAAAGATACCAATGCCATTTTCCAGACTTGGTGATGGAGCGTCAAGCTCAAGTGTCTGAGATGGGAGTCCTAGTACAACCATTGGCAAGAACAGCAGGAGACGAGAAATCTGTTCCTCCAGCATATTTTGCTGAAAGTCCGGCTGGTGGTGCTCTGCTACAACTGCAGCGAAGACCTAGCAGTGGGATGAGCTTCGATGAATCTCTTGTCTTGACATCACGTGTACCATCGAAGGACCCAGAACGAGGATCTGGATCATCTTTTCAGCAGTCTCATTCTCATCTCCTTTCTGGCGCAAGCGCGTCGAGCAGTGCTGGCCCAGTTGTTGTGTTGCAAGGATCCCAATCGCCACCCCTTGCTCTACAACAACAGCAAGAATGTGGTGGCCAAAAAGAACAGCTTGTTCTAGTAGATGAAGCCAAGAACGTGGCCGCCGGAGTCCCTGTAAAAACAGAACAGGGCTTCCAGCAACATCGTTGTGAGCACGGACAACCAGTTGTAGTACCAAAAGACGAAGAAAGAGGGCGAAGTCCGTCCCCTTCGGCGCGACGTTTGAGAGAAGCAGTTGTTGGGCCGAGAAGCAGTTGTTCCGAAGCTTCACTTCTTCCCACATTTTCCGGTGCTGCAAGTGCAACTTCTTCACCAGCCACTTTTCTAACAACAGGAGCAACTTCTCACACTCATCAACATCCAGGACAACCTCAACCTAAAGCTTCGACCTTTGAGAAACAGCACTTTTATTCCGAAGTAAAATCTGAGTCTTCATCTTCCACGCCGGGTGGATCGTCCTCATCGGATGCAGATGAAGATAGAGACGATACTTCCTCTTTACAAGGCCTTACAAAACGGTTCGCGCTTTCGAATATTCATGACCACTCTGATGTTCGAGAAAACGAAGAGCTAGCAAGAAGTGGTGACGGTGTTGCTGAAGACGTGCTATCCCATCCGCAAGCTCAATCTCCTCCTGAACAAGCAGCTGAACATCAAACAGCCGAGAGGTTAGTGGCCTCTTCGAGATTGGAGGGAAATTCAACACTAGTGTCTACTTCACCTATAACTGCTGCTGTCTCGACAGACGTGACGCCGTTGCCGTACTCGGGACGATCTTCGCTTCCCTTCACCCGTGACCTCTTGGAGCGTGTGTATCAGTCAGATCATGTGAGAAGCGTCGTGGTCGCGGACGATCACTTGTCAAGGCAGCAGAGCTTGAGTTTGAGAGAGAAGATGAAGGGCCATGAAGATACTTTGGTTTTGGACATGGAGAGGGAAGTAGACCAAGATCTTGAACAACAGGAATTTCTTAATGCTTCTTCTAGTAAGAAGGGATCTCCTTTTTACGAGGAGGAGCGCGAACACATAGATAGAGAACAAGAACAAGGAGACCTACGATCAACAGGAAGTAGAAGTAGTAGGCCTAGACTGGGGGAAATATTCGAGCCGCCTCATGATCCCCATCCTCCTTCGCGCCTCTATCAGATAATGCACCAAGAAAGTAAAAAAGACGAGGAGGAGCAAGGAACACAGGACGGCGTTGAAGATGAGCTTGAGCATGGTCTTCAACACCACCAAGGAGAAGGAGGTCATCTGACGAGAACTCTTGTTCGTAGCCACGAGGTCGTGGCTGACCAGGACACCGACCACAGGGGTGCAAAACAAGTCCAGCAAGTAAACGACCAGAAGATTCAACAACAAGAATGGAAGTTCTTACTTCGCGAGGACATCCACAAGCTTGAGCAACGGAAGAGAAAATCCTGGCGAGAACTGTACAACTACGCTGAGCAGGCCTACGGAGTTTTCGAGGATTTAACTTTTTCCATAGAAACCTTCACTGACGAAGGCGTGACGTTGGAGCGAGATTTATGGCACTTTTTTCCAGACGTGGACGAAGACGAGAGCCCCGTTGACCCAAGTGAGGGACAACCTGGCGGGCCCTCTACGAACGCAGCCTTCGAGGATACAACTCATGGAGGTCAAGATATTAGTGCTATGAAAACTACTACCACGACATCGACAAGTAGTTCGACATCGACATCGGCAATTATACCCATACCGATACCTTCTGGTGTTTTTGATCCTGTGACGTATGCCCAAGAACGGACGTGGTCAAGTTCAACTACCTTCTTGGAGCCCAGGTCTAGCATTCTATTTGGTTCATCTGGTTCAGAATTATCTCCTGAAAGTGAGACTGAATTTCGATCTCAGCCTGGACCTGTTGCTGCTGCGGCTCAAGAGGAGTTGTTTACCCAACATGATCAGCACTTTGTAGTACATGAACCAAAGGCAGGCCGTGAAGATCAAGAAGATCTTTCATCGCGGCGGCCGTTGTTGGCGGCAGCCCTTGATCAGGTGTCGGAAATGGGAAATGTTTTTACTTCCTCTAGTCAGCTCGTCAGGGAGTCTGATGAACAAGAGTCACCAGCAACAGCAGGTGCAGGAGGACCTTCTTCTGGTACAAACAACTCACAAAAACAGCCTTTTACCTCTGTTTTCACCCGCCGGCAAGTGGATCATATTGAAGATCAACAAGATGTTCTGGAACAGCATCTTGAATCTGATGAAGGCGTTGATGACGCGATTCGAGGAGCAAGGGCTGCAGTGTCATCCTTAGTACGTCGTCTCCTGCCGCTTGCGCAACTCGAAGACATTAGGCTGACCATTGCACAAGAACTACGAGAACGAGCACAAGAACAAGTAGTTGCTGAAGATGAAGCCATGGTAGACGTAGAGGCAGTCGTGCCTATCACAGATGATGTACTAGATGTAGATGAAGCTCCTCCACCACCTCGTGTTCATTTTGCTACGTCGGATTTATCCGCACGAGAAGCTCCACGACAAGAAGAACAATCTGGTATTTCTCAGGAACAGAGACAACGACATGTTGATCAAGTGGATGGTCCTGCAGATGAAGTGCACGCTACTACGGCGGGAGTTATGCGCTACCTACCCCGTGCCGAAATGGTGGTGTCTCGGCAGGCGGATAAATACTTGGAAAAACTACTCTTGTTGGGTGGAGAAGGAGCAGAAGGTACAACTTCTGCTTCGTCTACATCTCCATCAAAGAAAGGTGGAGACGTATTCGTACGACGTGATGCTCCTGCAAATGTTTTTGGAGAATTTTGTTCTATTTCATCTTCGACGACGACGAGTGGCAGTGGCCTCAGTTCATCTTCATCTTCATCAATGGAGCCTTCGCTATCTGCTTCTTCTCCTGGTGACGAGCATGCTGATCCTGGTTTTGAAACTGCTCTGCACCAAGCTGCAAGGTGGGACTCGCCCTTCGCTGGGTTGCTGGTTGAGGCCCTCTTGACGCATACGAACGTGCTTACAACCGACGTGTTTGCTCCTGACATATTCGGGCCTAGTCGTGGTACGCATCCATGGCGCCCATTCATGGGGGCGGTTCTGGACTCGGAGTGGCGATCTGTGCTTCTCGCCGCACACGAAGACGGCTGGCTGGGGCCTGCACCTGCTGACGAAATCAGTGACGGGGAAGAATATGTTGATAGCTCACCTCTGGTGGGGTCTGAATCTGATACTCCTGCTTCTTCGCCTGGTGAAGCAGGAGAGGGAGTAGACGTAAAGGGACATCGGCATCAGCTGCATTATGGCCGCGTGCAGAGCAGCCCGAGTCGTGTGGATCATGCGCAACCCGGTGTGGACCATTTTGATGACCCGGTAGTTGCACCCGTGGTGACAAATTTTTTCCTACCACCGTCGACCCTGGCATTCAGGAACGGACTCAAAAAAGCCTTTTCAAGATTTGGCCATTCTCACCAAGAAACAGATACGGAAGTAGGACGAGGTGCATCACCAGGTTCTTCACCTGGAGGAAGGGATATCTTCGCAGAGCCTTCTTCTAGTACTCAAGAAGTACAACGTGGAACACCAGGTTCTGAGTCAGGTAGAAGTTCTCAACTAGATTGGCTGTTGAGACCTGGCATGGGAAATTTTTTGAGCGCTATTGCAAGAGAGCCTTTCTTCCAGAATAATCGACTAAAGCGCAAGTGGGTTAAAGAACTTTTCCACTCTAATGGCAGGAAGTTACGAAAGGAGATTCACTTGGCGCTCTATGATCACTTCATTGATGTTCATGATACTCAACCATTAGAATAATCTTCATCTTGATGTAGATCTAGATGTTCTTACATGTTAGATAATTTCTTAAAATAACCGAGTAGTTCTTAGTGACTGAAGTAAAAGAGTCACTGCGTTGCTCTTCTTTCGGTATCTCTATTATTCCAAGTAGTTACTTCGTGTCGGCTGCCATTTTGTCGGCTGCATATAGTCCTAACGCAAAAAAAAAAAATCTACGGTGATCACGAGTGGCCATATCAGGGGCACACACATGACACATTTCAGCTTTTCGAATAGAAGAAGATGTCAGTCTGGGAAAGTTCAGCAGGTAGTAGTAGTAGTAGCAGTAGTAGACGTACACGTAGGACATCGATTGGAAGACGAAAGCTGTGACTTTTGAAAGAGAAAGAGCAAATATAGGTGCGATCGTTTGCATTCTTGAATGAAGATAGCATAAGGATGACACATAATGAAGACATTTGGACTTTCATGAATTTGATGATTATGGTTTGACTTTTTTGTGTAAAATTTTTTTGGATGAAGTCATTTCATCATCTGGCACCATCTTTATTTATTATAGTTTTGATATTTACATCCGGTGTGAACAATCTAGATGATGAAGATGAGAAAAGAATAAATAAACTTGGTACAGGTCAGCTAGGTACATGGAGGACTGAATGGTACCTACAGGACAGTGAAAATCAAAATCTAAAGAAACGAATGTCCAGAATTACCAAGTGGCGAGTAGGGTGTTTTCCGCTTTGTAGTTGCTGCGTCACTTGTTGTGCCATCGAAGCTGCATCCACCTATAAATTTTTGAAAAAGCTGGAGGCGGCGTTGCCGTTGAGACCTTTGCAAGCTGGAAATCGCAAAAAAATCGGAAAGTGGGCACTTTTTTTTTGCGATTTCCATAATTTTGCGGCTTGTTTGAAGAAGTTTACCCTTGTTATTTCCACAAATATACTTTATAGAAGAACAAGAAGGTGAGACCTCTGGGGCTGACAGGACCACGGCAGCGCCGGCGCTTATTTAGTAGTAGATAAGTACTTGCCTGAGTTTTCTTTTTTCGGTTTTTGTTTTTTCTAGTTAGGTATGCTCCACCTACTTTATAGAAGAACAAGAAGTAGAGACAGTAATAGAAAGGAGAGCCCACCTGGATTTCGTTGTAATCTGAATGGTTGAGAAAATGTATTCTGCATTGAGATTGGCAAGTTTTGGCAAGTTCTGTATTGACATTGGCAAGCTTCGCTATTAGTTTAGTCAAAACCTGTGTGAGTTAGCATCGTGACGAAACACTATGACGCCGCGCGGCAGTCTGCCCTGAAAACTGTGCGCGATTTGTATTGTATCTGATTCATCCATGAAATATAGACACCACGACAGGCCTCCGAGCTCGAGAGTTCTTGTTGTAATTTCGTTTTTGATGTCCTAAGCTGAATTGTAGCCATCATGATTGGCTTAAAGAAGTTCGTAAGTACTATCTTCATTATATTCATTTTCGTATTGGTAGTAGATGAGAGGTGGACAAGAACTCCATGTTTTTAGTTGTAGCTAGGAGACCCTCTACTTCAAGCTTGATGAGGTTTATTCCAAGAAGACCTGCGTGGTCAAATTTAACGATGGACATGGATAAGAACAAGATCACTGGAGTTGAATCCATCCCGGCATTTCCACGACTTAAAAATATGTAACTAAGATTCAGATGATGTATCGTCGCTGACAGTCCAGAAATACTGTTAGAGTAGACGCGCCGATGATGATGTTGCTGTTTCATGGTCCTTCGTTTCATTCTTCTAAAGTTGTTCTATGGTGTTTCGACATTTTCCTGCTGATATGACGTGGAAGTTCTCATAGCCTTGGTTGTAAATAATTTCTTGAAGAATTGTTTCACGTATGCTGATTTCAATCAAATCAAACCTATCTTAACAACTTTTTCCAAGTAGTCCTCCAACAACCTTATTTGTTCTTCACCAGGTGGTTGAAAATGAAAACTGCCCATAAGCTAAGAGTTGGCCTGGGTGGAGCAAATGAATGAAAAAAGAGGGCAACTTATGCCAGAAGTAGGCCTGTGGACGATACTAGCACTGTAAGCAGAGGTCACCTCTGACGTAACTGTAGTTTCACTGATCGAAGATTGTCAGATTCAGAAAATCATCAAAGACGACCATGACCGCGATGGATAAACAGATTCACTTTTATGGACTTACCTAGTCGTACTACTAGAAGTAGAACAAGAACTCGATGCTCATCTTCCTCGTATGATTCTTTTGAACTATTAAGTTATGGCTTTTACACGGGATGGCGTATACGATAATGATCCTAGCGTGATGACCTCCTCGGAGAACACGATTGAGGTCGTTTTTTTACCTGAAGAAGTAACACAATGATTTGTTTGTTCTTGTTGACAAAACGGAGATAGAGATACATAGAAAATGATGTGCAAGCAACAGCAACTGTTGTAGGGTCGCGCGCGACTATGATAATGATAGATAAGGGTAATCAGAGGACCCTTCATCTTCAGCCGCGCTTCCGTTGCAGTCTACGCTGCTGACTAGTTCTGTGCCATTCTTTCGCCAAGCTGTCGCACCTAGGCTGAAGCATCCTAGGCGGAATATAAGGAGGCTAATGTACTCCACCTGCCGGCAGTTTGCGAACTGGATAACACTGAGGCCAGTCTTTCAGCAGCCCCAGGCTACAAAAGAAAAATGAAGCGAGGCCTCCTGAAATTGAAAGTGAATCTGTCGCGTGGTCGAGGCAAACAACATTGTCGATCCTTGATTTTCAAAAAAATAGTTCAAGTTGTTGCAATGCAATGGTACATAGTACCACTACCAAGTAAGAAAGCAGACTTCTGTAGCGTGTTTCTTAACTGCCTCCGAAAGACGAGCCCAACGAACCCCACCTTCGTGTTACTGCCATCCTTTTCTGCTCCAAAATGTGAATCTGCAGGGCCATTATAGATGCTCTTTCTTCCGTAACCCTATCCCGCCTTCCCGTCTCCTGTATTCACCCGTGTCCTCATTATTTTTTTGAAAATGGCAAGCAACAGGTAGCACCATTGGCATTGGTTCAGCTACGTACAGGATCAAGGATCTGTATTTCACAAAAATCTAAACTATTATGGCTGTGAGTAATGCCTTTACTCCACGGTACGCTGGTGTCAACTCTGTGACAGAGGAGCCGCTGTTACTGCCATTGCTGCGTTTCTAGCCCCTAGTATGTTGTGTGCAATCATTCTTTCGTGTTCTTGATTGTTCTACTGGTTCCATTTTATTTTAGTGCGAACTAAGAACTCTTATAATAGAGCAACAACCAAGATGTCGCCTCCAACGAAGAGCAGTTCCTCATCGTCGGTGTTGTGGAACTTCCTTCCTGGTGCCGCTCACGCCGCAACAACCATAGCGATTGGGTACCCCTTCGACACGCTTAAAACGCGTCTTCAGACTGGGATGTACAACATACACCTCCAGGCTGCACTAGTAAGTACTTCTACAGAAGTGGGTAGTGCAGCAGCTACAGCGGCAGGGGGAAGAACAGCTACGGTTATATCTTCACCAGGAGTGGGTGAGGGAGGTTTCTACGTTGGAAAGTATTTTTTTGATTTACGAACAACGTGATCAGTTGGCGTGGAGGAACACAACACGTCCTCGCAGAGTCGACGCATAATTTGTTACTAGTTTGTTCCTTTACAATTATAAAAAAATTTACAAATAATACAATCATTCGATCACTGACTCCATATTAATGCATCACCTGAACTACAGCATGGTTCGTCTACTACGACAATCCGTACGACACGAAGGACTATTGTTTCTCTACAAGGGGTGTGCAGTGCCGCTAACCAGCTTGCTTCTAAAGCGGCCAATCGAATTTTTCGTTTACGAGACGCTGAACGAATCTCGGCCAGGATCGTATTTTACAAACGGGGCGCTTTCGGCGGTAGGTGGCTCTTTGTTGGGTTGCCCCTTCAACATCGTCAAAATCCGTGTGCAGAACTCGACAAATCTCACGGTATTCAAAGTCATGCTAGATATTGTATTCCTAGGGGCCACTTAGATACTTCAGCTTCGTCAACATTTACATGGATAATTTGGATACGTCATCTCCGTCATTAACGCGACTCACTGCACTTAGGTTTACACTAGGTAGTGCAATAATTGCAAACACTACAGATTGCAGCCGCATTACGCGAAGTGTTTCGACAAAGACCCTTTTGTCTTGGGTTTTTTCAAGGTTTTCCTTTGCAGCTGGCTTTTTCGGTCCCTAGTGCTGGCATCTACCTAGGGTTGTATGGAAAATTGCGGGAGGCGTTGTTGGTAGAAAACGACGGGTTGGTAAAAAGTCGCGGCGTCGCTGGTGGCATAGCGGGTGTATGCAGTTCACTCCTAATGTGGTCGCTTCTAATGCCAATTGACACGTTAAGGACTCATGTACAAGCACAGAGGGGGACGACCGCTGCTGAAGGAGCTGTATCAGCAGCATCCGCGACATCCGCGACTTTAGATTCTAATTCCTCTACCACGTCAAACACGGGTAGTTGTACCTCAGCAGCAGCGAATTCTGCGACGTCAGGTTCAAGTTCAACACGACCTACTTCAAAAGCAACTAGTTCTAGTGCTTCTGCTTCCTCTGAGTCAGTTGATCAGAACAGAACTGTTCTGAAGAGGCATCGAGGTCTCTGGGAGAGGTCACGAGCCATAGATTCGGCACAGACCATCTATCGTACTCGTGGAGTGCGTGGTTTCTGGGTAGGCTTGGTCCCGATGTATTGTCGAGCCTTCGCGGTAACCGCGCCTGCAATGTACGCCTACGAAGCGACAAGAGCTTGGGTGAATGCTGTGCCTGGGTGATTCGTTATTTGCAGGTTCGTTCCTCTTCCCCTTCCCCGCGAAGATATTCATCTAGTATACATTGATGAATCCCCTCAATTCCCCCTAGTTTTTGCGCATTATATTTGATCAATTTTTCAAGCACATGGTAATCCTCCAAAACGACCTCCCTTCATCTCGATCTCTTCCCGAGCATGATCAATGCTTTCATATTTCGAGAATCCGTACGCAGCTTTTTCATAGCGCCGCACATAAACAAACTGACCTTGAATGAAACTTTGTCAGAAATGCTTGCTCACGTACTAATTCTCAGTACGTTGATCAGGAAGCTCATCGCTAAGTCCAACTTCTTGGTTGCTTGGCCGTCAATGATATGCTGCCAGGCTTTCATTGACACGGCTCCTCCAAACTGTCATAAGCAATTGTTCCTGGTTTTCAAAAATTCAAAAAAAAGCACCTCATCGGTACCTCTCACCAGAGAGGAACTTGATGCATAGAAGTAATTGTTTTGTTCATGCATAGAGATAAACGTAAAGACTGAGATGTGAACGAGCAGCGATCTTCATGATTTAGTGTCATGTGATGAAATTTCATAACCTTGATCTACGTCACGTAGTGAACCTTTCTGTTGCCATTCTGATTCTGATAAGCATCAATCACAATCATCCTGATTCTGATTTTTGTTCCTAGGTCTGTACTACGACTACTCCGCGACTATCATCATGGTGTTAGCTTGCCTGTTTTCCTGTGGTGTGGTAGGCGCGGGAGCGTATGTGAATCGCGAGCAACTGCCTGGGTGGTGGGAGCGCTTCCAGCAGATGTGGTTCTCGCAAAACGACTCTTGTCTTCAAGGTCTGGTTTTATGCGTCGATAAGTGCGCTGCGAAAATCGAGAGTGCTACGGGACTGAAGCTTGGCGGAGAATAACATGAACTCTGACTTTGTACTCGCACTACCTAGTAGGTAGTTCCTGACGTGAGCGTGACTCCTGGTCTTCATCTTTACGATCATGCTGCTCTTGTTCATCTTTACCTTTAGGGTCTTACGTGGAGAAAGAGCCAGAGGACGAGGACGTGCGGTTCTGCCACATCGAAATAGTTCAAGGAACGGTCTTCGACATTTCCTTGCTCATCTTTATTGCTCTTTCTTTTTGGCTGCTGATCATGCTTTTGGCGATGTTGAAGTGGCTGTGGCCACCGGCACCGCGGGAGAGGAGCAAGATGTAGTTGCTGCATGGAATGGTGCAGTCGCTTCACGCCTAGACAATGCCCTCCGCCAATGGATGCCGCGAAAAAGCAAATTGGCTGCCAAACTCCAACTGAGGGATCATGGTACTATCGACGAATTAAATTTAGAACTAGTACGGTCATCTGAAGAAAAAGACGAGGAGAAACGACTGCTAAGGCGCAACTTTCATTGGTCGTCATAGAGGTTGGTCACTGAAATCGAAAAGGGGCCCCTTGAGAGGACAGGGGAAAAGTGAGGAAAAGAAGTAGAGAGATGTGGGGCCCCTCCTGTTCAGAGTCAGTGACCAATGACTGCTGACCTTTAAGACTGGAGTCTTTGTTGTCTTTCTGCCATGTGCCACTCGTGGACATCGGAGGAGTCGGCGTGGAGGACGAGGGCGATCATCGACAACATGGAGTATCTACTACGGCTTCGTCTGGTTCTGGCCTTCCCCTTGATTTCGCAGAGCGCTTCTCCAAATGGCAGCCACGGTACATGCGCGACTCTCTTCAATGGTCAAGACACTTCGAGTCGCTCTTCCACGAGCATTCACTATATTCCAGAGTTCACGACTGTCCTGCTGTGATACTAGAAGTGATGCTGAACACCATCCTTTCTTTGGACACGGAGTATGGCCGAGAAGCAGCGCGCGTGCGCCACAACATGGTCTCTGACACGGTGAAGAGCCTTGTCAAGATGGCGAGAAAAACGCTGAAAAGTGGTAGACGTCTACCTGTTGAAGGATGTGGATTGCTGTCGAAGTTGGAGGACGCATTTGATGATTTCCTACGAGATATGGGACTGGCAAGAATAGACTCGCTGCCTGAAGACTATAACGCTGCGAGTGGAACCTTCGAAGATGCAGAGGCCGCATATCGCACTATCCTAAACGGCGCTATAGCACTGATCCTCGCAGACAGATGGAACTCTGGTGACGTCGCACGCACCTATGGACTTTTGCTTGGCTTCGAATCTATTCACGAAATAGCAGAGATGACTGAGAACGAATTTTCATCACCACAACACGACGTGGACCAAGCCAGTGGAGACCAAGAAGCCATCCACAAAAAGCCTCAAGAAAGCTTGTGCTTCGGGCAGAAATTCTACGTGTACCCACTTCACGAAGTTTTTCAAAATCTTTCGATACTAAAGTGTGCTTATTCTCAGTGGGGGACGGAAGCGCTGTTTCATCGATACTTCGAAGACCTTGCTCCGTGTCGAGTAAGCAAGCCCGAAATCGCAGACTGGTTTTTCGTTCCGATGCTGTCAACATGCTTGTATGCACCACTTTGGGGACCTCATGAAGGTAGGGCACGTTGGCGTGAGGAATCATCGAGAACAAGGATAAACTCGTCTAACATCAGTCGGCAAAGGCCACTTCTGTCCTCACTTACTAAAGTTGAAGCTGATAGTCAAACTCGAAATCGAATCTGAGCTTTGAAGTCAAAAAATTTTGATTTTATTCCAAATTAATTCAAATTTAATCCTAACGACCGAGTTGCAAACTCAACATTGAAGCCGAACTTTGAGACCGGATTTTTGATTTTATTCCAAACTAAGTCAATTTAAATCCTGACGAACGAACTGCGTTCATCTGATGTGTACTGTTATTCTTAGTTTTGAGGAGATAGATCTACTTCAACTACAGATATTTTCTAATACAAAATATGTGAATGAATTGAATTTTGATTTTATGAACTTTTGACTGAATTTGATTGCTAACGAGCTCGTCTAATTTTTCTCACAATGGTAGATGAAGTCTCAGCATTTTGATTCGTAGTTTTGTTTCGAAATCCATGCGGATAAGATAATTCAAAAAAAATATTTTGATTTAATTATCACGTTTATATTCTCGTCATCGTCCTCCCCTTGTATCGTCGTCGACGTTCTCCATGATCCTCCGCATTCATATTCTATCGTCGACGGTCGGATCAGGAGTACGAAAGACAGTATCAGCGAGATTCGAAGAAGTGCCTGCTCGAAGAAGCAGCATTTCTCTTTGCAGATGTGTGGCAATCTGAAACAGAACGGAAGCGTTGGGAACTGGATGTTGCGGGCCTGCAGCTGCGTAAGGTTGCCGGACAAGAAGGAGCAGAATCATTGGGTGATGGGACAATCTTTGATGGAGGCGAGGACCACGATCAGCGTGGGGTGGAGCACAATCAGAATGCGCATAGAAATCAGGAGACTCGGGCAACGGCAAGCATCAATCAGGAAGACGAAGCGCGCGAAGTGCTACTTGGGGGGCTGCTTGAAAGTCACCAGGAGCGGACAATTCTGGAGGATATGCCCGACAATCTCGATGACCTCGGCGGTTGGGAAAAGGAAGGCGAAGTAGCAACGGCTGTCAATGCATTTGTGGATGCGGCGACAGCGACTAGCAGTAAGCCGATACCCAATGATGCAGGACAAGGGATACGACCACAAAGAACATCAAGACGACCTTTACCCGACGATAACAACAAACTCCTCGCTGACGAACTGGAGGCGATCAAAAAGTTCGGTCGGTGTCGCCACACTGACTTGGATAATATGGCTAACCGCGAAATTTTTGGGCCTGCAATTCGGGACGAATTGTTTTTCAAGTCAATGTGGTACAACCGCCGTCGTGGCGCGGACCACATCTTTCTTTTCGCAGATGGACAGGGTCCAAGACTCTTTGGAAATTTTCAGATGTTGCAAAATTCGGTGTTTCTTAGTGTGGAGGCGACGTGTCCGACCTGGGCCGTACGGCCGAACCTAGAGGTGGAGCAAGACGTTTTTGATTGTCTTCAGACCATGCAGAAAGACATTGTCATTCCCGGTTTAGTAACTTTTGATCGCGCACGTGGATTGCTAGCTACGAATAGACCGTCGAGTGAGCGCGAATATTTGGTAACGTTTCATGGTCGACACCCAGAACACGCACTGAGCCATAGGAATGCCAAGATCCGCGGACAGGTTCTGGACACCTTCGAGAAGTTACCAGGCGCAGACGTCAGTGCAGGCTTCGTAGAGAGCTACTTCGCACGAAAGGGCAACTCACACTTCTGCCTTGTGCCCGGCGGCAGCAGTCCGTGGACCGTGCACCTCTACGAGAGCTTTTTCGCTGGTTGCATACCTGTCATTTTGTCGGACGAGTATCAAGTGGCATGGAGATCAGAGTTGCCGTGGGACGAGTTCTCAATCAAGTGGCCAGAGAATCTTCTACTGAAAGATGAAGATTTTGAGGCTGACCTTCAAAGCATCGGAGGTGACTTATCGCCGTCATCATCACCTGGGCTTCTCGCATTGTACGCCTATCTGCAAAACCTGATCAACGGAGGTAGAAACGTTGCGATGAAAGCTGCAGTAGATCGGTATCGTTGTTTTTTCGACTACTTTTCAACGACTCCGGCTTGCAGTCCATGGCATTTGGTGCAGCGAAAACTGAAGAAACGACTGATCATGCGTCGGTTAGAGATGGATTCGCCTCTTCTGCAGAGCAGCACCTCCGCTGGAAGCCAACATGCTGATCCTCTCTTGTCGATCGAGGACAGTCTCAGCATGCACCACATCGAACATAAAGAGGGAGCGCACGTCGTCTATTCCGACGCCCACTCCGTAAACGACCGCTTTTGGGGTCCGACACCTTTTGAGGTCGCTTTTCCCGAGTCCATTCCGCAAGAGCCGATTCATGATGCTTTCGCATTCGCCCACTATGACCGATTGTCGCGATATCATACTGTAGATGTACCAGCAAACCAACAACGACGCACTTTTGACATGTTGAATCGGACACGGGTGAAGTGCTGAAGAAACTCCAACTTTTTTCCCGCGTCCCCCGAAGAGAGCTCATTCTTTCGTTTTTAATATTGATACGCCAAGAACTAGTACAGCAGCAATGAATTTATGATCCACCGCCAACAACGAGCAACAAACTACAACTGTATTTTTTTTTGGACTTGTGCCGACACGTCGAAAAGAACTTCACTCTTTGACAAAGCTGTTCGGAAGCTGCGATGTTCGATGTGACCATGCAGTGTAAGCAAACAATCATTGATGTGTCATCAAGCACCAGCGAGTTCTGATTTTTACTGCTCGTAAGACTAAGATCGCAGCAGCACGCAGCAGCTACCAATCAATTAACGATAGATGATCCTGGCTCTGAGTAATTAGGCAGCAGTCCTGTGATGTTACTAGTAAGAGTAGATCCTTAACCGATAGTGATTATACGATCTTGATCTTCAGAATAAAAATGGCAGAAGAAGTATGTTTCGAAATATTACAAAAGAGGGCATGTCCATCTCCATATGATCGAGATCAACTTCAACATTATATTAAATCCTTTCATAGAAAATCTTCGAATCGACTCGATGCCCTTTTGATGTTTCATCCACGACTATTTTCAGTCTCCTGAAAGAAAATTCCGTGCTGGACTTCGTCTTGCTACATCGACACAAAACGAACAGTCTGCTACATCAACACGACCCCCAACCACGCAACGAACAGTCGAAGGAACCAGACCAGCATCATGATGAATCAGCGCACGGCAGACCAGGGAGCACCTCCAGGTATCGACGAACGCATCACGTTTTTCCAGTCGAATTGGGCTACGCAGATTTTTCCGAATCTGAAGCCTAGTGCTCCGGCCGCAACCAAAGGCTTGGCCACTGTTTTGGGGTTCTCTTTGCCGAATCCATCTTCAAAGCGGTTGGCTCAAGACTTGCACGCTCAGCAAATGCCGTGTTGGGTTGTAATCAATCTGTTAGCGGACACAAGTGTTAAGGCGTCATGCTCGTGTTCTGATTTTTATCTTCTTGCTAATGATCAAGGGATGTGAAGCTTGTGTCAAGAGCATTCAACATCGTTTCAAGAATATCTTCGGAGGTTTTCGATGACTCAAAGACCTCACTTGCTCTATGATGTACTTGACAAGAAAACACCTCCCTGTTGAACAACTTCCTACATGAAACATCGAGTCTTCACCTCTTCATCTAATTTTCGTACGTACTACGCAATCCTCCGCTATACTCCCGTTTCGAAGATGGTTCGAGCAGCTAAGATCATTGACGATCGTGCGAATAAGGAGCTGCGCACCTTGGTGCAGACCATGCAGTGGCAAAGCGCTGGACGTGGCGGAAGCTACTCCAAAGACGTGCTCTCGTTGGCCCATATTGTTCTAGAACGGCAGTGCAGTTTTGAGCACGACTTGGTTCGCTTTGGGGAGGAACTAGAGCGTGTCACTGCTGAATATACCGAGAAGGTGAGAAAACAGCAGATGGAACGTCAAAGTGTAGAGGTTGTTGTGCCGTCCTCTTGTTTTGCGGATGAGGAAACTGCGGTGAAAGCCAACAAGCACACTCCTACTCCAGTCAAAGAAAGCGGTACAAGAACTTTGCAAAAAACCGCCGGGAATGTCAACAACAAAGCGGTTCTTGAAGGGAAGCAGGAGACCAATAGTACGAACTGGAACGAAGGTGCTGCTACAAAAAAGCCTGTCGATGTCATATACCAGGGTAGCGGAGTTGCAGCTGTGCACGAAGAATCTGGAAAGAAGAAGTACTATGTCGACGAGCAACTGCAGGAGGATATAGTTGAGCCTCAAACAAGTACTAACGCATCTAGTAGTGCCTACCACTCCAACAAGGAAAAAATGTTAGCCGTTATGCAAGGCAAACGGACTTTTGCTGATGGACCATCGTCTCGAGATGAAGATCAACAACGAGAACAAATTGTAGTAGGAGACGTCGCAGCTCATTTCGAGAAATCCTTCCAGGAGAATGGTCTGACACAAATCGTTTTTCATCAAGTTACGCGTGGTGGAATGGGCCAACTACAGATGAGTTCCAGAGCTGCACTGCTTGGTGGAAAGCTTTTGCTGAAGACAGGTTTGAAAGAATTTGAGGTTACAGAAACTATGCAATTACTGCTCGGTGTAGTACCTTCTTCGGAACCGGAAGGAGCTGGAGGCTGCAGTGGTGTGGTGGAAGAGCCCTGCTACTTGGTGTTGCAATTGGATGACGAAGGTCGCAACTTCGCCTTGCTGAAATGGACTCCTATCAAATGCGTTGCTCGTGGAGCCCGAATCATCGATGCGGCCAATGTCAGACTAGTGAAAGAAACACTCCTCGCCTCCACACGTGCTCTCCCTTCTAGCGATTTACACGGCACGGTCGACGTGGGCTGCGCAAAGGTTGTGCTGGAACGACAATGCTCTTATCCAGATGAGTTGACGGCGTTTCTCAGTGAAGCGGCACAGCATTTAACCTCTTATCGATCGAAGAAGGAGTCAGAAGAGACGGCAAAGAACGCGGCTTATGCGCGCGAGATTGAGATGCACGCGGCAGCAGTAAAAGAGGTGGAAGCTAGTGCATTTGTTGCACGTGCTGCTGTTCTTGAACAGGAGCAGTCCTGTGGAGCAGAAACAACAAGCTGTAGCCGCCCTTCTCTCTCAATGCCTGCTTCCCAGGTCCTTGAGGAGCAAGAAAATACGACGTTTACAACTCGTTCTCCACGTGAAGCTGGTCTTGCTACAACTAAGTCACCAGGAGGATCTAGTACAACGAGTAATATGTCGACTCCCAGAGCAGGATCTCCGCGTGGTGGAGGGCTTCTGAAACTAGAGGATGTTCTAGAACAAGAGGATGTTCGTGTGGTGCAAATCCTTTTTAGTACATCAGCTTCTCAACAACAACAAACTCATTCAGCAGCTGCAGCAGGAGCTCCTGCTGAGATTGACGGTCTTGGTCTGCCTTTGAAGAATATGCGCTTAGGAGTGGTGAATGCCCACCAACAAGTAGGCGTGTGTAGCGACACAGATGAGGAGCGCGAGCAACATCAAAAGATTTTTCGAAGTGACGTCCCTTGTTGGGCTTTTGTTCGTTTGTCACCGGACTATGGGGACTGGGCTTTACTGAAATGGACTCCCGTTGCCAAAATTGCTCAGGGCGCGAAAATCATCGACGGAAAAAATTATGGGATATAATCGCTCTTTGTCGAATTTTTTTGTTCTTGATCTTGATGATGGTGTTCCCCCATGTATGCTTTTTAGATGAATAGAGCAAGTGGCCGTGCTATCATGGCACACTAGTACCTAACAAAGATTAGATCTTCACTGGAGGATTAGCTACAGCTACAGCTCGTCTATTTCTAAGACACCGTGGGTCTGCTGCGACGTGTTTTGGGTAATAGCAACCAGCGCGCCGCAGGTATTGAGGCCGCAAAGGTACAACTTGAACGGCAGTGCAGTTTCGAGTCGGAACTCAGCGATTTCCTCAGCGTTTGTGCCACTACCTGGGCAAAAAATGTCGCCGCATTGGAGAAGAGGATATTTGATGAGGGCGGATACCAAGACGGCCTCCAGCACGATGATCGTGCGCCTCAAGAGTTACGCCAGAAGTGGCGGCGACAGCGATTTCGCGCTGAGGAAAAGATGCGACGTGGTGTAGGAAATGGAAACGCAGCAAGTAGCTGCACATCAACAGCAGCTGACGTCTTCGACGACTGTGATGAGGCACACCAGGTAAATGTCATCCCCGATGATCACGAGGATGATGATGCGACGTCTGTTGCAAGTACGATTGACATTCTACGCTCTGGAACTGGACCTGGAGGATTCGAGAGTGGATCTACTTCTGGACCATCTCACACTTCAAATATGATAAAGAAAAAACAACACATGTTGAAACCTGATAGAACCTTTTCGGGAGGATCGTCATCACGTGTTGTGCGTCGTCCTAGCGGTTCTGTCATCTTTTCTCCCGGGGCGGGCCCACCTGGAGGAGCCTCAGAGGATGAAGAATTCTTAGAAGCGTTGCCGAGTGTCGATCATATGCTTGGAGATGGTAAGAAAAAAGTTCAAGTTGAGGTACAACTATCGAAGAGTTTTCCTGCGGCCTCGGTGAACAATGATGTGGTCGTGTCTTCTTCAAGAGCAAAAAAGGTTGCAGAGGATGAGTCGAGCAGTCGGGAGAGCACTTCGAAAGAAGCGGACGATAGAAGAGATAGAGTCAGCCGCGTCGAAGAACTACAGCTCCCAGCGACGGCGACCAGGAAGACAACAAAGGAGCAAGAGAGTGACGTGCACACGTCAACTCCGCCTTCCACATCGAGAACAAGCATCACTAGTCCAGATGGACGAAAGAGTGTCGTGGTCTCTCCGACTCCGACCACTCCTGAAAACTCCTCCACAACTACAACTTTATCGCCGTCTACTGCAACTAAACAATCTTCAGAACCTGGTGGTGCTGAATCAGTATCTTCTACTCCTGCTTCCTGTACGAGTGCTAGACGAGCTGGCCCTACTGCTTTTTACATCGGGTCAGACGACGAGGGTGACCACGGAGACGAGGATCCGAGCAGCTACATAGCAGAGGGTGAGGTCGCTCATCCTCAACATCAAGTGGATGATATGCAGGTGGAACTGGTAGATGAATTCGCAAACCGAAACCAAGACCCGCTGCAGTCATCGCAGAAGTCTAACGAGAATGTGGGGACGACAGTTCTTGTAAAAGAAAATCATGAAAATCTCTCAACTAGTACGACCACGACACGAGTACAGGAACCACTCCGCGACAACCGTGGACCACATCGAGGCGGGTGCTCCTCTCGTGAACCATCGAGTGATAAAAGCATAACTACATCAACTGCAACTTCTATTAAGCGTCCCTCACTTCTACTACAAAAGGTAACGACTAACGACATCAGCAGTGTCAGTCCAGTTTCTGCACCGCGCCGTCCTCGTATCTCAGCTTCGGAACTGCAACTTTTGCTTAACAAGTCGAAAGCTGAAGTTGAGTATGAACGTCGTCGCATTGTGGAGAGCCTCAAGGAGAATGCAGTTACTGTGATCGCCATTCATGTGAACGATCAGAGCATCTCCAGCAATAGCGCTTCGCCGTTTCTATTCGCTTTGCGCGCAGGGCTCACTGACGTGGAAGAAATTACCGCTGACCTGGTGCTCTCGCCAGCAGCTCCGGCATTTGTTTTCGTCTCACTACCCGGCCAGAGCGGCGCTTGTGCATTCTTTCGCTGCTCGGCCCAACGTCGGAGTAAAAATTACGGCATTTCTCTACTTACTACTTGAGAGAGGTAGTGGCATTTTTTTGAAACAGAAACAAACTACGTAGCTCTAGGAAGGTCTGTACTGGTTTTTGAAATCACAAATACGAGAACAAGAAGTTCATAATGTGTTGTGCGTACTAGCAAAAATTCCGATTTTCGAATATCTACCTTCTTGACTTACGGTACGCAACTACAACCTAGAAGTTCCTTCATCTTTCTCGGCATATGTGCCTGCTTTCTTCTCTAACACCTCGCAGCCGATGTCGAGGAAGTTCAAGAAGCGTGCTCTCAGGCACAGCTGTCTGCGTTCGAAAACTTTTTGAAACCGGATGGCACCCCTAACGTCCTGTTTGAGAAGGAAATTGACTCTATCTCCCGATTCGAATCCGACATCGGACATTTGCAACGTATGGTCGTGAAAATGAGAGGTTGAGCATGAGGAGATGCGTTTGGGTATGCGATCTCAACAAGGGTGCGGAGAAGATCCGTAAGTATGCGGTATCATCAAGGGACACACGACAAATTCGAGGTTTCAAGGGACGAGACAGCCCAGGAGAGGGTGAGGAGGACTGCGTGCGTATGCGGTGCCAGTTGTAGACAAGACCGATAAAGGAAAAGGACCGAAAAAATTCGAGGATGTGATCCTCAATTTCTAAGGCATGGTTTGGATTTTTGGAACAATGGTCGTGTCATATAATCATGAAAAAAGAAATATGTAGCACATTTAGTACTGACACACATGATACAACAGACTTTCATTTTATCTAGTACATCTAAGTCTACCAGCTAGCTAGTACATCTAACAACTAATATAGTCGATGAAGGTAGGTGGGTAGGTAGGTAGGTGTACCCAATCGTGGGGTATACTACTATCGTGGGGTGATGAAATTTTCTACTGAGATCAGATTACCATGTAAAGATCAAAATGAACAACATAAAGCACCTCTATTTAGCAGAATAAATACGCCGTATGTCCAACCATGTCCACAGGTGGATCATGAAACGAAATAAAGAAGCTGAAATAACAAACCCCTCTCTACTCGATTGTGAGAACGAAACACCAGAGTAAGAGATACAAAACGAAAACTGTAGTTTTTTGTCGAGTCAAGACAATGACAAGGTGCGGAGTTTCTGCGAGTTTAAACCTATTTAGGTCTTCTAGCACAGCGTTATTTGGATCCTTGTTCGCTTCATCTTGTGATGCACTTCTCTAATTTACGTGAAGGTATAGTCGTTGTCTAGGGCAGGGGCAGCTGGAAATCTGAACCCTTCTGATGTAGTCTTGTTTTCTTCGATCATCCGAAAAGTTCTGCTCATACTTAGTTGTATTACTAGTTTTTAGATTTGAAATAATGTCGTGAATTGTATCTTCTCAACGACGAATACCAATACGAAGACAAACCGCATGGCTAGTCGTGGCTCAACAGAGTGATTAATATATAGTCCTACTCCTAAGCCTTTCTCCTGTCCTCGCTGTCATATGGTTTCTGCTTCATGTAAAAGTATTTATTGTTTCCTTGAGGTTGTGATCTCCATCAACATGGATTCTTGATCGAGGTATGATCAAAACGTGAAATATCTGAGCCGTCCTTCAGCAGTACAACTAGCTGAGGCTAGTAAGGCTAAGCAGGTACTTCTCCTGAATGTGAATGGGGAGCAGCAGAGGAGAAATTGCGACTCGAAGTGCAGAGCTGCATGAGCGAATGTCAAAAGGTGGCAAAGAGGACTGAGAGAAAGGAAGATAAGTATTTTGATAATTTGAAGTAAAACTAAATGCTGTGGTTAATAAGGAACAGAGGCAAGTGCCTGATAACCCACGACCCCCCTTCACCAAACAAACTGATTCGACGCACAATTAAACTCATAGCTCGTGGTCCCGCTGTATGGGCGCCGTCAGGTGCAGCTGCGTTGGCCACCGTGAATATTTAGCGCACTAGAAAGACTAAAGACAATTAAATAGAAAGAAAGAATATAGAACACGCCGCTTGGCGGTCCGTGCCGTATCGAGATAACAGCACAAATCCAGGCCGCATCGTGCTCGATTTTACGCATCCAGAACAAAAGGTTGCCACAGGACGCTTAACTGTGGACCCGAGGATTGCGCACCTTGTTAGTGAAGAGAAATAGCGTAAAATGTCAGAGGTCATGACAAACGATGAGCGGGTGAAGCCAGTGGTAAAAATCTAGTACTATTTGTTGTTTACTTGTACAACTTCATCATGTTCATCCAAGTGCTTATTTGTAGTTGTTCCTTCCAGGACTTGTTACTAATATTACTGAATGGTCGTGCTGGTATTTGGTAACCTGATTTTGATCATGAGGAAAACAAGTGAAGGAAATCCCGGTGATCGAATTCAGGTTACCAAATAGTACCAGAACCATACAATTACTAGACGAGGAACGCACTGGAACAGTAGAAGGAGTCGTGCTACCAGAACAAGTTGGAGGAGCTGCAGAGGTTGTTGGAAGAAATTTCCTAAGGAAGAATCGAAATAAGAAAACCTGATGAAGAAAAAAGTACAAGACCACATTAACAGCCGACTGCTAACGACACTCGGATACTTGATTTGGAAGTTTTTTCTTCAAAAATGGCATGGTCAATCTCGCCACAGGTCAGCTTTTATCCTCCATTGAGACTGACTAACAGGTAAAGAATACATTCCGAGACTCCTGTTTCTTTCGCAACAGATATTTACCTATAGTGCGGCGTTGAGAGTTCTGCCTTGTTGATAATGATCCAGCAACAGATACCTATAGTGCGGCGTTGAGAGTTCTGCCTTGTTGATAATGTTTCTTTCGCAACAGATACCTATAGTGCGGCGTTGCGTGTTCTGCCTTGTTGATAATGATCCAGGACTCACTTTTACGCAACAAGTAGCCTCTTCATATTAGCAACTCTTCAAATGTTAGGGTGAGCACTCCTTGATATAAAGTGCACACCCGTCTAAGGACTGGGTATATGCAGAATTTTAGAGCGTAACGCGATAGGAATAAACATCCGTCACCGTTTTAGTTGTGTTTATTCCTATCCTGACACCGAGCGACCCCGACGATAGAGAGAAACGCGACGGGAGGAATCAACGACGCCCCGAATTGTGAAAATCGTGCGCAGTTTTGCCTGTTCTGTGTGTTTATTCCTATCCCGAGAAAAGTTTCCTAGATCGTGTTTTCGTCTATCGTTCTGCAGTCGGTTTAGAGCGAAACTTGTGAAATGGTTCGAAATCGCAAAAGATGCGAAGGTCGTTGGCACAATTTACGTCGTAGACGGTCGGTTGAGGGTGTTCTGTCGTGCGAGTTGCGCCCATGGCGTAGTCTGTGTGTTGAGGGTATTTGTGGCCTTTTAGTCTGCTGAGAGGATAACTTTTTGAGAGAGTTAAGAGGATAGCCCGCTGAGGGTATTGCCGTAGTGTTTCAGCAGTGTTCGGAGGTCGGCACGATTTGCGTCGTAGGTACTCTGCTCGAAATGAAATCTGTCGAGAGTATTGGGCGGTGAGTCTGTTGAGGGTATTGCGCTGACTCTGCTCGGAATGAAATCCGTCGAGAGTATTGGGCGGCGACTCTGTTGAGGGTATTGCGCAGCATGTGAAAGAAGTGCACACGACGCCGATACGAGAGAAGTCCACACGACCCAGCGCCAATCTGTTGGGGCTGTTTTATTGCGATCTGTTAGAGGTTCGCCGCGCTTGTCAAAGAGAAGAGACCGGGAGCTGTCTAGTCGAGTGCGGAGCCATGCTGCAGCTGCTGCATTGAGGGACGAACCTGCGCGGCTCTATTCTGTTTGAGATTTTTGCTGGTTATCGGTTGAGGCTTTGAGCCAGCCTCGCAAATTTTGAGAGTTTCGAATTAGGTAGGCGCCCAGAGGGGTCCACCGTGCGCCCATCTGTTTGAGCTACTTAGTGGACATCTGTGGGGGGTTGAGCTGAGCAAAAGCCTGGGCTTTAAAGTTGTTTGCGTTTCGTTAAGTAATTGAGCGACTAAGACGCGCCGAACGTGACTCGCAGCGCACTGACGTGGCGACATACTTAGTCCATCGCTTCTCTTGCGTTTCGTTAAGTAATTGAGCGACTAAGACGCGCCGGACGTGACTCGCAGCGCACTGACGTGGCGACGTACTTAGTCCATCGCTTCTCTTTCAAGTCCATCCATGGCGTTGCTGCCCCCCTCCCTTCCCCCCTGTTGCGCAAGCGCGTCGAAGCATATGAGTGCATGACTCGCCCGCGAGTACTAACAACGCTCATGAGGTACGCGCCGCAGTCAAATAAAAGCACACACTTTCGCAGCTGTGAAAATCTGCAACATGCAACGCATTGCCATCTTGTTCGCCGCCACTGCTCCACACCGCGTTCGATAGTTCTGTCGTTTCTCATTGATTTGGAGCGCAGTTTGTCGCGTGAATCTGTCGCCGTTCCCTTGATTGTTCGCTTAATTATCCTCAAATGATGCCCGTTCGGCCTTATTTGATTGTGTTAGAATTGTATGATTGCGACGCATATATTTGCGTCCTTCGCTACTGGTTAACGCTCCGATTTATGTTTGGTTCGCCTGTTCATTCCTATCGTTCCGTTTCCACCTAAAGTTCTGCATATATCATCATCATCATCATCATGATAGATACGCGAGGCGAACAAGATGTTGCTAGATGCGTTGTTTCTGCTCTTGACAGTCGCAGTTGCCAACCAAGTAGAAGGCGAGCAGTTGGCGTCTAATGCAGTGTGTCAGGTGGGAGATCATGTGGGTGGACAAGTCCCCGGTGGGAGATCAAGTGATGTCCTCGACGCTGTGATCATGTCCTCGACTTTCGCTCGGCTCGAACGGACGACAGAGGACGATCGCCAACTAAACGGAAATGGCCATCACGATGAGGACTTCGAGCACCTACTTGAAAAGCAATGGGCCCTACTCTGTTCCTTCAAACCCGAAGAGTGCGACCCAGAATTGGATAGATTGCGTACGATGGGAAGACACACAGTGCAGTACACACCGATGCGTGGCAGTAAGCGAATTCTCGGAAAGCCACAGCTACACGTCTTTTCCGATGTGCAGCCATGGAATTTCCTTAAGATCAAAAATTTCGATGCAGAAAGGCTGCTTGAGGTGGAGAATATTTCGGAATTGTGGAGAAGATTTGCGAGGACTTGTATAGGAGATGACACAGTAGAGAAGGAGACGAGCCAGGAGTGGTCCACAGATTCTACAGTATCGCCACTTCTGTTAAAAACTAACACAGAAGAAGATCATGTTGATGATGATGCCTCTACTACAAAAGGTTATTCTTCTCGCCTTTTAATTCTCCGCAACTTGCATCCAGTTTCAGAACTACACACAATCCTTGTCCCGGATATCGATCTGCTTAAGCCACAGTATCTTGACCTGGACGGTCTCGTTGCTGCGATTGCGGTAGCTCTTGTGTCGAGGACTCAACGCTGGTACTTCAACTCTCTGGGTGCCGGTGCTAGTGTAAATCACTTACACTTTCAAGGGTGGCGTCCACCGAAGGGATCAGTTTCCTTAGATGAGGCACCAAGGCGTGTGGTGAAGATCGTAAAAGAAAAGCCGAACAACGAGCTGAATGAGCAGCCTGAAGAGGACGCAGGGGTTGATGTCACTGTGTCAGTGATTGAAAAGTGGCCACTGCGATCGATTGTGTTATGAGAAGGTCCCACTACTTGTTTTACTTTTACAGTGAAGAAGTGTTGAAACAACTCTGCTAATAAAGCAATAAGCTAATTTTCATGTCTAATCTTCGAGTTCAGTGTAGCGCTATTGTCGCCAAGAAGTTGGAAGATCCCAGCAGCGACCTCCCGCCAGGAGCAGCAGGTTTATCGGTATGACGCTTTGTCGCAGACTCTGGCAGCAGTCGCGATGCGTCACATCAGCAAGTTACAAGCCGAGAACATTCCCCACAACGTTTTCATCTATCGATGGCCGTCGCGTACTGGAAGTGGAATGACGCTTCGAAAGCAATGCTCTTCCGATTTCTCTAGGAACGATAAAAATAATGCAACTATGTGTAAGGTATTTGAAGATCCAGGCCATGCTCGTCCTGGTCCTCACCAAGGACTACGTCACAGCGACACGGACCCAAAACCAGTATCTTCGACGGAAGAGTTGCGTGTCATGGTAATCGCTCGTACTTTCGACAATACACAGACGGAGAGACCTTTTGATACACAGGTTGCAAGTTTAGAGGTTTTAGGTTGGTGGATTCTTCCTGGTCGACAGAAATTTGAGTCCTACTCAGCAGAGGATTTGGATCGACTGCTTTCAGAATCCTCTATTGAAGAAATGAAGAACAAATTATTGCTCAATTTTTGAGTTCTTTGCCATGATGACGATGATCTTCAGGAATTTGTTATTGATATATTCATATGTTGTCCTCAATCAATCGCAGTGGTCTAATCCTTGTTACATCGTTGTTAATACAGATGTAGTTGTGCCTTGTCCTGGACCTGCTGGTGCTGAAGGCTCGTATTAACACTCCTCGCAAACTCACATATAAGTGGAAAGTGACTCCAGGAGCACGACTGAGTTTTAGCGGCCGTGAGTTTCCTCATTCTCTCAACAGAGACGAGGAAAAGAAAGTGCGTCGCGTGTCTTCCAGGACGACTGCTTCATCGGTGTAAAAAACTTCTCTGTCTCTGACTCTGTCTCAACAGCTCTACCAGTTTATCATGGGACAAAATTCGATCCAAACTTTGGACTTGAGAAATAGAAGATGTCTTTATCTTCCATGCTAAGGCCCAAGGGAAAAGACTTCATTGACATTATCCGCTTCACGTCAAGGTGAAATAGAGCAGGTTCTCAAAGAGGAATATCGAAATAATAAGACAACCATTTCTCTCAAAAAAATAGGCGGACTTAATACATAGTAATACAATACGATAATTGTGCTAATGAATTTTTTTTTTAGTTTGTCAATTGTACTGGAAGATTAAGATGTTCGTGTTGATGTACTAATAAACCTCTGTTGATTGCGAACCGTACTGCGCCCCATGTGGTGGCTCGGAGTTGTTGTGTAGTCATTCCCTCAACCTCCTAGATTCGTCACCATTCAAAACCGGCGGGCTCGTCGCGAATAGAGTGATAGACGAACAGTAAGCTCTGCCTCCCGCCGGTTTGCGAACTGGATAAAGCTGAGGCCGCTCCTTCAGTAGCCCTGGGGTACTTACAAAAGAAAGCCTTTTCTGAAATCTCCAAATCCGAACCTTGTTCTTGCTCGTCGCGATGATGAAGCTATGATTCCCCTGGCTGGGTAATATCATCATCATTCATCCGTGGTTTGACTTTGGCCCTAGTGCTGCACGTCCTCTTCGTCTTGGTACGACGACCACCACAGGAGATGGTCGTCTTCATATTTCGCCGCTTGTTGCTCCTTGGCGATCAGCACCGGGGCCAGGGAAAGCCGATTCGTCGCACCGCGGCGAGTACGATTCTTTCTTCTCTCCTGTCGATAGTTCTTGTTACTGCTGTGGGCGCGAGCAAAGTGTGGCCAGGAGGAGATAATCAAGAACACCTTGCCAACAACAATAGTACTTCTGCTACTCCTAGAGGGCTCGTTCTTCCGAGAGGGACATCTACATTATCTTCATCAAGAGAACCGCTACAACACGGCAATGGAAATGGCGATCCACATCTTCCGAGAAATTTTCTTCAGGAGGAGCATCCCAATCCGGGTCAGCTAAGTGCCGGTTGTTCTACGACCTGTGCTTATAATCTACAGCGGCAAGTAGAAGAGACTGCAAAATCATCAAGTAGTCTAAGTGGAAAACGAGCGATAGATGTAGCAAGAACTACAAGGAAACCACCGATTCGTTTGCAGCAGGAGCACCAGGAGAAGGTGACCACAGGCCCTCTATCTCTAGCCTCGTCCTCGTCAGAGATTGTCCGAAAAGGAAAAAATTATATTGTTAATGATGACGTTGAAAGACGAGATCTTCATGTTGTACCTTTTCCTGAAGTAGATTCTGCACGAGGAATTGATCCTAATCCAAAGGCCACGGACGTGGGGCCCCGACCTGCATGCATTGGACGGGGTAGCGGTAGCATAGATTTGGCATCCAGAAGAACAACTAGTGGCCCATGTGGTCAACAGAACTCCTCGTGGAGTACTTTTAACCGTGGAGGTGATGTTGAGACTATTCCGCGAGATTTTAATGCTCGTAATAAACGAGAAGGAGTTCTTTTTGAACAACATGTTGTCGTAGTGGCGCAGGAGCATGATACAACTCGGAAGAGTGAAGGTGTTGAAGACGACCTACTACACAAAAAGAAGAAGAATAGTACTAGTTGTAGGAGTTGTTCAAGTTCATCTAAACCACGAGATGAAAGCGAAAAGCAGGATCCACCGGATGCTTCAAGAGGTAGAAGTTCCCTGCTCCAAGAAGATTCCTTGTCTGCTTCTCAAGATGCTATTCTTGGTCAACAGAGGCGACGTGGACGAACCACTTCACTCCTTGACTCAACATCAACAAGTGAAAATGTACAAGGACGAGACGGAGAGCGACGCGATAGTGACTCCAGTGTCCTTGATGAAGTTGACCGAGGACGACAAGGACAACTGCATGTTGGTGGAGATGGTGAAGGTGTCGCGGACAGATACCAACCACAAAGGTTGACGTCGACCAGTAACAAGTGTTGTAGTACTGTTCGAAAAAGGTGTTCCGCTGTTACAGGATCACCCTACTGCCAGAGGCTGATTGGAGCTGTGGCCATTTTGCATTTTTTAGTACTAAGGCTCTCGCTAAAACTAATGCATCTTTGGCCGCATCCTTGAAAAGCATGAGGGCGTATTTCACTGCGATACTTTTCAAGGATGCGGTTGGGAGATGAAATACGGAAAGGTCTAATAGTAAGCCTTCTCACCAGTGTGGTTCAACTGGGATGTGAAGTAGAAGAGCGCGCTACTTTGATGTACACGATTGACAAATTAGGTCGTCTACGCTACTTATCTCAGCGTGGTGTTCAGGTAACGAGTACGGGTGGAAGGACCGTGGTACCCACGACGACGACGACAGCTGCTTCGGGAGTAGATGGTGCTGGAGGAGATAGTGCAAGTGCTACTAGTGGTGCCTCCAATCACGAACTAGATGCTCCTGACCCTTTAAAACTATTACCTTCTGGAGGTAGTTTTGGACAACACGCGCTGCACCAGGTGACCAACAGCAGCACGATAGCTAAGGCTTCCCCTAATCCATCTTCGGGAGCAGCCTGAAGAGGCTCGTCAAGGGGAAAAGGCGCCTAGGATGCATTTCGAGATGGAATGGATTAGGGTGTGCTCTAAGTTAGGAGCAGACCCTTTTGAAGAAACGTGGGGAGAGTTCTGTTGTGTCCTGGCTACCTTGTTAGACCCAATGGGGCCTAACGAAAAAGCGATGGGATCCGTCAACGCACGCGCTTCACAATGCGTAGTACAGCTAAATGCTCTACAGCCGCATCTTCTTCAGGATGAATCACCACGTGAAACAGGAACGAACTACGAGAACAATCACACAGTCGTGGATAATGTTAATGGTAATGCATCAGGAGGCACCAACCTGAGCCCATGTGATTCTGTTTTACTCGAAATTTTGGAATCCACATCCTTCTCATCTTCGCTGGCGGAGAGTACAGGAACTGCTTCAGACGGCCAGCACAATAGTCGTCCTCGTTCGTCTTCGGGACACTATGATCAAGATCGAGATGTAGTTGAGGGATCGAGATCGACAAGCGCAGGTAGTAGATCTCTTGGTGGTGCTCCTGCTGCGCATGATCAAGAACACCAGTCGCCTGGTGACCTCCACGTAAAAAATGACGTTGGTGGTACCTCTTTGTTGACTTGCAGTCAATATGTGCCTGTTGAAGGGGGTTACATTGTCGGCTTAGCCAGTGTGAATCCAGAATTAAGGTCCTCAACATTTAGTCGTGTCCATCTTTCTCGCCATCTTGGTCGTGCCCTTGTTTTTTTCCGGAATAATTTCATGGGAAATAAGGGGTCGAGATGACGAGGAGGGGACCCACGACCCAGCATCAGCAAGACCAAGAGGAATCAATAAAACTAACAGCCGACTTCGTTCTCTAACAAAAGCGGCAGGCAGTCTGGACCACTGGGTGCATTTGCACGTGCCTCCACTAGGAAAGCTAATCGCGGTCGCGACGCGTTCTCAGAACAGGAGCGTTGAAGAACGGCGCAAATGCCTCTTACCTGCTTTAGAAGTACGAAAGGAACAAGTGCACTCACATCACTCAAGAAATTGGCCAGTAGTACTTTAGTAGCTACTTTTCGTTGAGTGTCGCTCGTGAGTGCACTTGTTATTTTTCCTTTCATACGAAGCGGAGGTGGGGAGAGCAGTTGCTGATGTGGATGGGCTGATGGAGATGATGAGAGATGCAAAGTTTAAGGCTAGGCTTTCACTATCCGATGTGGACTAGTATCCTGAGTGGAGTGTCGTCCTGTGAATATTTATCAAACGTGGATTAGTAGAATAGTCTCTCTCAACAAGACGCCATACATTCTTAAAGGAGAAAGAAAACGAGGGAGAAAGAAAACGAGGAAGGTCCCCCAAGAACCAGGCATAGTGAAAAAACTAGCGTTAACAAGTCGATCTTCAAGAGAACAGGCTCCGGCACGATACTGCGGCAATCGTACTTCTCACTCGTGGGTAGCGGACTTGTTCTTTCACTTTTGTGCTGCGGAGGCTCCTCCAACGGATCCTCCCGTCGAGTGTCTTTACGTCATCTTCATGGGACCACTTCTACGCGGCCACGTGCTCGTGAGACTGTCACATCAGATCATAATTCAGAGGTGGACTCATCGTCTCAAGTGGACGACTCTACTATACGAGGTTCTGTGCTCAAGAGACGACTCGATGTCCACCTCGAGTCTTCATCGGAAGACGAGGATGAAGAAGGGTTACGGCCTCATCCCCTATAAGGAATCCATCTCGTCCGCAAGCATCTTGAAGCTGTCCCATGATAAGGAGAAAGGGCCACCAAGATGCATCGTCTCAAGATGGATATAAGGGTGACGAGTCTGAGTTCTAAAAGATGTAGCTATAATTGTGGATAAAAATGAAGAAGACTTGTTCTCTAGTACTGCAGCTGAACTAGTACCACCAGCAGGAGGAGCTGGAGGTAATACACCCTCGCCGGCTAGCAGATCCGTTCGAGTTACGTTCCAGGAACACCTGGAGGAAGAGGAAGGACAGGAAGATAGGAGAGATGAAGATCATATCGATAACGACCTAGAAGACGATGATGAGGAAGGAGGTCATCATGATCCTAGCATTGAGGTACTAGCCCGCAAAGGAGTCGTAAGGGGAGTTGTAGAGGATGAACAAGAGAAGTACAACAACATGCGCCGCAACATTGATTATATGCAGCTGCAAGGGGGCCCGGACGGGCTCGTTGTGGGCCGACGTAGATCTGTAGACGTCGACTACCGAGAAATTATAAGGCGTGGCGATCCTTCTACTTTTAGTTCTAGTTGTTCTGCGGCATGCAGTGGAGGCTTACGACCGAGAAGTGATCATGTTGTCGCACCTGCACTGCTGGGGAAGCGGGCTCTTGATGTTCACCATGTAGATAATGTTGTCCATGATATGCTTATGCCTCGTCATCGTGGTGGTCATCTACCGATGGAAGGTCCGAGGAAGATGAATACTAATGTTAGAGAAGATCGTCCTCTTCGTTTCCTTGGCTACGGTCCACAAACAGTCGGAACGCCACATGGTCAGAGCCTCTCTAGCTCTATACAGGGTCAGAGCATCTCTTTGTATGAGGCCACTCATTGCGAACGGAGAAGATATGGGAACAATGTCGTTCCACCTACTTACTTAAGTAAAAAGGGGCCAAAGGAGGGGAACGACGTTCCCCTATCGACATTCTCAATGAGTGGAAGCATTCACTCTTTGCACTTGAGCAACATCAATGATTATGCGCCTGCTGGCGCTGCGAGTGATCATGTTGATGATGATGGGAATCATTCACCTTATCATGCTTCTTCATCTGGACATCAAGCTAATTATCATGACCATGCTGATGGCGTACTGCGTCGCTTACAAGCGGCCAGTCGTGCAACTTCCTCCCAGTCCTATAGAAGATTATGAGTGTTGTAGGAAATGCATTTTCAAAGTCAACATCTGGACTTAGTTGGTTTTTTTAGATAGAAAAGTAGTTTGTTCTTTTTCTAACTTTTCCTGATTTTTGTTTTTTCCTAGTCAGGTCTGCTCGACCTCCTTCCACAGATATTCATGATAATAGAAGGGACGACCACGACGGAGCCAGATCCAGATGATCTGTGAGATGCACTTCCTAAAATACGTCTAAGAAGAGACATCGTTCGAGTTGGAGAAGTTCAAGAATTTGTTGTTGGTGAGGGAAACCGACGCGAGACGTGGAAGGTTGTGCCATTGCTCTCTCGGCATTCTCAGGTGGGGCTTCAGAATGGCGGGAATGCGGAGACACGCAACAAGAAAGAGAATGCTGCAAATGCTGGAGGAGGAGGTGAAGACGGCGATGCACGCAGAGAGAATGCAAATGCGGGAGGACGAGAAGTAGGTGAAGATGACGAGCAGGGTGCTGAAGATCATATGGTTGTACATGATAGAAGAAGCACTTCTCCAATCCAACATCAAGAACGTCTTCCCATACCAAGCATTCTCCCATCTACCACAAGATCCGGATCAAGTTGTACTACGCAAGAACAGCAAGAGCACCATCAAAACACTACAGCTGCGCTAATATGCGCCCCGAGACAAGATGGTGCCACTCTTTCTGATGTGCAACGTCGAAAAACAGAAAACACTCAGACCGCTCCAGTTGAAGAGCCAGAAGTTGTCCATTACCATGATCAAGAAACTCAAGAAGGTCAACTACAACGAGGTGATGATCTTTGTCAAGTCGAGCAGCGCCCACGTGGAGGTGCTCGACAAGATGCAGCTGTGCCGCCGTTCATCTGCTCGTCGTATCGCAGAGATTTGCACTTCTCCACTACGCTAGAAGCAACCCTAGAAAATTTCCGTTCGACAAGAACTGGAAAATTGATAATTCCAACGTCATCGTCTTCATCCTCATGTAATGGCAATCAGGCATCCCGAGACTCGCACAAAGAATCAGCTTTTTCCGAAAGTAGAGAGTCTGCTTTTACACCCGTGTCAAGTCGAGCAAGAAGCTTCCCAGTGGAAGCCTTTGAGCAATTGTCTCACATATCAATCTCAAGGGAAATACAAGAACAAGAACATCAACAACAAGGGGTAGGGGGAGTACTAGTCGTACATGATGTTAAGGGTCAGCGACGACTTCCGGAGCAGGACGTACTACGACATGATGGACATCTTCAAGTGCAGGATCATACGGATCTTCACGAAGAACCCGCGGTACATCTTCTTCGTCTTGTAGAAGATAAGGACCACGTACTGGAGACTCCGCGACAGGCTGAGCTTGAGTGGGCGAGATCATCAGCAGGTTTGTCAACAGGGGAACAACATCAAGTGGCGAGATCCACCAATATCGTACTAGCAGAGAAAATGCGAAGCCAATCGGCGGATTTCTTGTCTTTAGATTTAGATCGTCGTTGTCTTCCTGGCATCCGATGTGGAGGACCTGTCCAGATCCGCGTTTCGGAGCTGCGGCACTCTCCGGCATCATCCTTGTTAAGCCTACCGCTCAAGCATCCTTAACATCACCATCTTCATCCTTGGATCTTCTTTTTCTACTTGAAAAAGAAGGTGGATATGAAGAGGAGAGGGATAAAAAGACTTGCCGGGAAGAAGATGCAGCTCAGGCTCAGGCGGTTGTAGCTCTAACCTCCGTAGATGCTGCGCTTCCACCCTCAGTCTTCGACTTTTCTTACCGTAACACATTTGAATCTAGTAGAAGAGGAGAGGAGGACGATGAACAACCGAGCAAGACTTTTAGTGTTGGAATCACGAGTAATTATACGGACACTTCTTCTACTAGTCCTCCTCTTAAAAACTCGTCGAGTAATTATTATACGGAGGACAGGTGCACGTCGCGCGGCCGCGACGGCGACAGAGACGCCAGTTGTGTTGAGCAGGAAGAACAAGAAGAAGATCATGCTCATGGACGAGCTGGTAGTAGAGAAAATAAAGTTAGGGCTTCCCCTAATGCAATTTTTTACTTATAGGGATCGTCTCAAGTGGATGAATATGTTTTTTGACTATCTAATGTTCACAAGCTTATAGTATAGGGATTTTCTTCATCTTCTATGTAGACATAATAACCGTAATATCTATGCTTGCCGTTGCACCCAAAGATCTGCACTCTAATGCAAAAGAAGGGCCACCTGTGGATACGACTTGCTCCAGTCCTAGGTCTAGCTTTTTTGGTGACTGTGCTGCCTTCCATAGGCTTCGACACGAAAGCCACGACGGTCCTTTTTCGACTAAGGCTCATGCAGCTTTTTCTGAGAATATGTAACTATCTTCGTGTGCTCCTCCTCCTGGGTAGATAGATATAAAACTTCATCTCTACAACTGGTGTGAGAATATAATTATCTTCTATGTTAATATTGATGTTCTTGTTCTTCTTGGTACTAGAAGTAGAAGATGGTCGTGCATGAATGCTTCACGCCTACAATCTCCTACATCAAGCTGCAACTGCGTTAAGGTTTCTTCTCCCTCTACTTGATGTGAGCTCTAATTCGAAGCGGGAGATTGGGGTTTTTAGTGGACATTGGCGATTGATGGGCCACGACGGTCAGAATGTACGATATGCGAAATTTTTAGAGAGCTTTCTCGTTTTCGACGACCAGATAACCGACTGTGGAGATTATCACTCACTATTGAGTTTCAGGCGGGTTTTGCCTTCCAACAGTACAACTCACGTCGTACTAGGCGGTGGGGCCGCAGCAGCTCCTTTTTTACATCTAGAAGCAGGAGGAGCATCATCTTCTTCTGGTGCAGCTGCTAGTGGATCTTCATCTTCTTATCTTAATCTTGAAGCATCTTCTGCTCAGCAATTGTATAAAAAAGTCGCTGTCGTCGCTGTGCAGCAAGAACGTGGCTCGTCCTCGTCCACACAACATGCTCCTCGTCATGAGCTTTTGCCTTCCTCGTCTAAGTCGAAACGTGGCGGAGGAGAACTAGAGACAGACAACATCGTAGCCATTTGGGAGACCAGCACTTTGCTTAAGGCTACTGCCGATGAAGCATCCTCGACAACAACCTGATCCTTGCTATGCTTCTTTTTCTACTTGGAAAGGAAGCACCCAAGGATTTGCATCTCAAGGAGGATGCGAGCGCGCTAGAAGCTCTAATTTGCATCGACAGGGAGACTGCGTAGTGCGCACAAGTCTCGGACTCGCTCTCGTTTATCAGGCAGATGCAATGATGGCCAAGAGCAGCTACGGCTTATTTTTCAAATACTATTTTTTCTATGAAATGCTCATCATGTTGTTCCTGTTGATGGTGCTCGACGTCCTCTTCTCTTATAGTGTTGTAGTGATGCAAATTGTCATCACTTTAATAATCGAATAAACTAAAAAAAGAATCTCTACTCATCCGTGTCCCGTGTCCATCTAAGACTACAGCTCTCCCTCCAGCGACGAAGTAGATCACGAAGCAGCAGATGGAAAGCAGCAGCGCGTACGACCGCCACTTCCAGCGATAGTGCTGGAACACCTTCGCTTAGGTTTGGACTTCTCTGGTGCGCGTTTGAGGCAGCAGAGATACCGACTGACAAAGAGACGCTTTCAATTAAGGCAACAGTTTTGCTTCTTGACATTGAAGATTCCTCAACAAGGAAGAGAATATGAATTCCAAGTATGGTAATAATATGGCTTCACCTGCTTAGAAGGATGTGGATGATTACGATTAGGTAGCAAGGACTGCAACACAATGAAGGAGCAATCAACACATGATGACGTGAAGATGCAGTTACAGAATTTAAAGCTTGACCTCCTCCTCCATCACAACTGCATCACATTTCTAAGTCACATTCTATACAACTCTGAGGAGAGCGATTCCGTAATCGACGATGAGGAAACAGCATCAAAAATTCAGAACTTCGTGCACGAAGTAGAGCAAGCAAAGAGAGAGACTACGGCAGCTGCGAAGAATGGAGATGTGATCGCTCATCAAGAAAATACAATAGGAGACCGCCAGCTTGGAACATGAAGCCGACTACAACTAGTAGCATGATTATGATATACTTGTAAGATGATACGGGACGTGTTTGTAAGTGTAGAGCTAGGGGTGGACGTGGAGAGAATGAAAATCATCGCAACTACAAGAAGATTTGAACAAGAGCATTCGCCTTCAAGGAAGTAGTAGTAAATGAAGTGGCGCCCTTCCATTAGAAGATGAGTGGTCGCCTCTATAGGATATCGATGATTTTTGGTAGTGCACACATTTGAGTTTATAAGAATTTCCAAGATTGTACCTGATGAATTGCGGATCAACCGGAGGCTCTTTCAGGAGTTGAAGATGTTCAAAACGCATGTGAATGAATTAACTCTCGTCCGCCTGGGGCGAATGTTTCACGGATGAAGACGGTCCCGTCGTAGATCAGCTCTTGGCGGCGCTGTCTAAACGTCGTGGACGGGTCCTATCTGAGCTACATTGCCGGGCCGCCTCACTCTAACAAAGTTCGATCTCAGTAGTGGCGCCGCCCTCTGTGCCGAGTGTCCACAGCTTGCAGCTTCAGGGCCTAGCCAGTGAATGGCCACGCCAAAGCCCTTTTCCTCTCCGTGGTCGATCCTGCAGGGTTTAGCCCTTGTTGTCTCTCGGGGTGCGTCCGATATGGTCCATCATTGTTCTACTTATGAGCCGTCGACTAGTCCGCCCGTGGGGCTTCCTTAGGCTCTAGCTTTTCTACAGCGGTAGCCGTTGTGCTTCGTCGTTTGCGTAGTCGTAGCGCTTGGCCGTTGTGCTTCAGGCTCCCCGCGGGGTAATTAAATGGAACTATAGCCGGAAACTGTCGACCCAGGTCCCAAAAAAAAAAGCCCGAACCGCGAACATGAACGAAGGAATGAAAAAGTTTTCATAGAAGTACCCACTCTGGTTTTGGCATGAATGAGCAAGTCACTACAAGAAGAAAGTAAATCAGTTGCAAAATGATTCCAAGAAAGTAGAAAGAACAGGTGGTGTCCTCCGTCTTCATTCTCTGCATGTTGATGAGACTCTTCCTTGTATGGGAGACAGTGTAGCAGGTCCATGGACGGCTACGGGTGTACTGTAGTTCTTGCTTTGTGCTACTTGTTGTAGAAGTTCTTTTTGTAACTCATTGTTCTTGTTAGCGCGGCTACATCACACCAGTTCTTAGAGCTCAAATTGAGGCTTTTTCTTTTTCTTGTTCTTGGTAGGGTCCAGAAAAAAAAAATACCATATCAAAAATAGAGAAAAGCCCTCCCATATAGAGAAAAAGGGGGAGGAAATAGAAAAAAGCAGATCGGGGCTCTTTGAATAGAGTCAAACACAGAAGCAAGAATAACAATAGATCGACCTTATCACTGACTGCGCGCCACGTAAGCCACTGGCCTCTGATGCTGTCAATGATCTACTTCCAAGCTATAAAGAAATCAAGCCTCCGGCTCAGCTCAAACTCTGTTCCTTGCTCGGCCATCATTGCCGCTACTGCAGGCCTCTCATTGAGTTTCCGGATCATTTCGCTTTCGCATTTCTTGATCTTTCCACTTGATCGGAGCTTGTGGCCTGTCTGCGTGTTGATCTTTGGAGTAAGGACCCCCTGAGTCACGACCATGCTATGCTTTTGAGTTTTCTGAGCCGTTGGATCCTAGTGCTTATTTATTTTGCTGCCCCCTTGCAGATGCGAAGATGAAAAAACTGACCGTCGGCATGCTGCATTTTCGGCACATGTCTTGTGATTGTTTTGAAAATGATCAAGGAGCAACTCCAAAAATGAACGCGGTCATTTTTTCTCATGGTCATTATACATAGTCATCGCTTTCATCTCACCCAAACAAATACAACAACCTCCTGGGCAGGACTTGCACATAGAGACGTCTGGGCTTCTTGTAGATGATAAAACTCCTCCAGAGTCATGCGCCTGCGTTAGACGTTTCTCTTTATTTTTTCCCGGATAATCATACTGGATAACTTAGCTCTACCACGTGCTTTCCCAATGTTGACGTAGAAGATAAGATGGCGGACTTCAATCCAGAGCACTACCGGGAGCACATCACCTCGAAGGAGGTTGCAATGAGTGTGCATCTTTTGCGTGGAAAGGCCAAGGCGGGGCAGACTGAAAAGCCAACGCTTTCGTGGTGGACGCCGGAAATCCTATCCGTCAACGGCGTCGAGACTTCGCGACTGCGAAAGCAGTCGGCTCAGGTCTATTTCAAGAAGAGCTTCCGGCCAGTTCCTCTACCGTGGTTTCCGTCGTCTTCGGGTGCGGGGTCGAACGTGACGACGACGAACAGCAACAGCCCGCCCTTGTTGTCTTTTTTGAAACAAGCTCCGCTACCAGGAGGAGCAAGCAGCTCCAGCGCGAGTGGGGGCCCTGCGCATGCCCATGCAGCTGGGCGGATCGGCGATGCAGGAAGTAAAACCCCGGCAGACTGCGCTCCCCTTGATATCTCACCTTCTTCCGCAGACGCGAGCACTTTAGCGCACTCAGAAGCCAGCCCGGAGCAGGTAGTTAGAGTTTTAGTTTTTAGGCTTTGGCGGAATCCTTTTTGTTCCTTAGGTTTTTTCGGTTTGTTATGTTTGTGTTGTGTTAAGACATCTCGCTTAGACACTGGCGTGACTAATCAGCTCACCTTAACACCGAGCTCACCTTGGTTCTTTAAGATTTTTTAGATTCTGTCCTTCCATGTCAACGTCCACAGGTGTCGGAGCCTCGGCCCTGCGATCAGTCGGCGAGTGGTGGCGTGGAAACGAATCGACTGAGTAGCATGTTTGGCCTGGCTGGGAATATCCTCACTGCAACACTCACTGCCACAGTGGGCACAATATCCGCAAAAGTGTCAAATAAGTCCAGCGGATCCAGTTCCGGCGCGACCTCCAGCGCTCTTGCTTCTGCTCCACAAGATGCTGCTTCTAGTTCTCGCACTCTTGCCGCGGCTATAACTACGTCCAGCGCTGGGCCTGAGACGATAACTACAGCTAGCGCCTCTCTTCCTGCCGCGGAGGGACAGCGCGTATCTGCAAGTAGCTCATCTACTGAAGACGCGCGGTTGCAAGTAGCTCATCCCCTGGGCGGGCAGCCATCCACTGAAGACGCGCCTGCAAGGCTTGTCGGGGGTGCAGACGTAGACGGACTACAAGCTGACCGTGACAAGGGGCCGGCGGTTGCCCCCCCGGCGCTTTCGGTTGATGAGGTGCGAGCCCTCGTAGCGAGTCAGCCTGGTGCAGTCTTTTTCACGGGTTACCCGCAGTTCGCTGACTTCTCCGTCTATTTTGCTCTCCGAAATGATCAGGCTTACCGCACGGTGTCGCGTTCGAAAGCGGTGTCCCTCGCCTATGATGAACACCGCCGTGCAGAGTTGCGAGCACCGGTCGAGCGTCTGAAAGGCAGCAGCGCCTTGGCTCAGGTGCAAGGAGGCAAGGTGGTGAAACTGTGGGCAGCAGAGCAGCAGGCGCAGGTCGCGAACCTCCTCCAGCTGATGGATTTTCGTCAGCCGCAGCTGATGCAGGCAGAAAAATCTCGACAAGGTGTTGCGCGTGCCTGTGCAGCATTGGAGAAAAAGGAGCCCAAAGAGAGGGAGGCGAACTTCATAGACGAGGCGCAGCACCTTCTTCGAAACGAGGCGCGGGGCCCGCGGTGGTCTGACTGGGCGGCAGAGGACTTTCTGCGTGGTTGGGTGACGGGCTCGCGAGTCCATGTCCCCGCCTGGGTGGTTGTGTCTTTCGTAGGACACATGCGTGCACTCCTGGAATCCGCAGGCGCGGTTGAGTCGAAGCGAAACCTTGCCAGTGCCCTCGGCTTGTTTAATGGAGAGAGAGTCTGTCCGGCAGATTTTTTCAAGCGTAGCAGCCGCTTCTGGGCGTACGCTCGGGGCATTGATCACACGCTTCTGGGACCGCAGAACGCGCAGTCAATCGACGGCCGAGCCTATGTCTACATGAAGCCAGCATACAGCGGACCGCGACGCATTGTTGGCGTAGACCAGGACGCATTCTGTTGGTATGCTCTCTATCGACCTCGGGCAGTGATCGAGTTTGCCGCTCCAGCGGATTCACAGCGCGTTCCGCCGCTGTGGCTGCTCGATGAAGAAGACGACAGTATTGATGTGGAGGCAGGTGATCGCGAGCAGTCAGCGTCTTCGTCTGGTAGTACGCTCCTGGCGCCAAGGAAACCGGTGACGGCTACAATGCTGCAGCATTCCCGTGGGCTGCTTGCTTCGTGTGGCGTCTTGTCGGTCTCAAAGGCCACCTTAACTACGCGCGCTGCTAGTGCAAACGCGTTCGCTTTTTCCACCAGCGCTGCAGCTGCTTCTGGATGGGCGGCAGCTCGACGCGCCCTCTTTATCGATAGACGACGCGTTCACACTGTCGAGGCGCCGGAGGCTGATTTTGGTGCCTTCGACATGGGTGAAGCGCACATGTTGCCGCTGACGGCTCCGACAGTCAATCGCATCCGGCTGTCGGCGTTTCGGGCTATCGAGGTTGCTGTCTTCAGTTACCTTTGGCAGCCATTTACGGAGGCGAACTTCATCAGGGCCGACCACGCTTTTCGTGGGTCCAAGATCATCTTCAGCATCTGCACAGGCGGCGGCGCGGTGTTGCCGTGCTTAGTTCCGTCGAAGTCGCCGAAAGTAGTGCGTGATCTGGTTGCGCGAATGGCTGAGCGTGGGCTGCACATGCCAAACCTGCAGAAGGCGTGGACAGATTGTGACTGCTGCAACCCTGTAGGCGCTGGCGATGATGAGGCCGAGCGAGTCGCGAGCAAAAAGTTCACCTTGACCCGCATCGCGCTCGCATCGCTCATTCCAGAAGACAACTTGTTGGCAAGGCAGGAGTTTGAGCTTTATCTTGATGAGTGGCACTTGCTGGAGCGCTTTCGGAGGCTTCTAACGGTTGCGCACCCGGATGGGGAGAAGGCTTTAGCAGATGCGAGTCGTGCTATCAACGTGTGGTCGGCAGATGACTGGGAGAATTTGCGCGATTATTATCGACTCGGGAAAAAAGTGAAAGAAGACCAGCTACACAAACACATCACCAAGGCTGACATAATGAATCACGTCGGCAAACGCCTCGAAGACCCTCTGCGCCGTCACCGATTGTATCTCGAGGTGGTTAACTGGTGCACAACGCGACAGCACGCGCAGTACGGGCCGCTATTGACCGAGGAGAACACTGGCAAAGCGACGCAGCTAGCTTTTTGCGTGAAGCACTGTCTTGGCGATGCCCCACCGGTGGTGAAGCCGTCGACAAAGAAGTTTCTTCGCGGTGGTGTGGCGGTGGTCTTGCCTCAGTATTATCAGCAGAAGAGCAGTTCATTCTTGGAGGCTTTTCATTCTGTAGCACTAACTGGCGACCTCAAGCTCGGACAAGTTTCGCTGCAGACAGCTCACGCCGTATTAGGCCGCTCGGCGTATGACTTCACGAAAAACCGGCTACAGCGTGTCTTTGGCGAATCGTCGACGCTGCCTGATGTGGTCGACTTATGCGAAATTGTGGAGAACGGAGGCCCATTCCCTGGCTTGCGCGGGCTTCTTCGCTCTGAGCAGGTTGAGATATTAGGCGGCCACGCTCTCGTCGCTCTTTCAGGTCTTGGAGCTGGATCTACATCACACGACGTTGCCGCTGCTGTTGAGACATCGCCCAGCATCGACACGGTGCTAGAAACTGAGACGGACGCGGCGGGGGTCGTGGATCATGTAGTGGAGCGCGTGCTTGCTGCAGCACAAGAAGATGCCGCTGCAGCAACACGCTGCGGGCCATCCTCTTTTCTCGGTTCCTTGCGGCGTTCGTCCGTTGTGAGTCCGATCAAAGAGCTGGACAACGGTCTTTTGATGACCTGGCGACGTTGGCCTCTGGAGCAAAGGGAGTGGATGGATAAAGGCTTCGCGGAGGCACAAATGGTTCCGGACAAGAAGTACTCCGCAGCCGATTTCCGCGCGCTCGCTACCAGGTGGAGCCTCATCGTTGCAGGAGAGCGGCATGACCCTCGCGGGCGTGTTGCAACGACGGAAGGCGTGGTGCGTGAGTATTGGAACAGCCAGAAAGCAATGGCGTCGTGCGCTGAAGCGAAAAACGGCCGCCGCTTCGTCCGCTCGTTGTTGATGCATGAAAACACGGCTGGCGGCTCTGTTGCGCAAGCGATCACAGCTGCAAGCCCCCGAGGAACGAAGTTGGAAATCGACACGCGGCATGATTCTGCTCGGAAGAAAAGCACGCCTCAGAGTGCTGCAGGGCCAGGAGGTGACGCTATGAATGAACTCGAAGGCGACGCCCTTCACCTGCGCACAAAAGTGGAAGAGGCTAATGGCAGCGCCGACGTCGACCCAAAGGTGCGCGGCAAGAAGCAGTGCCCACACTGTGGGAAGTGGCCAGGCACTGGGCACATCTTCGTCAACTTTGACAGCACGGGAAAGCAGCTTAAGGGCGGAACGGGGCAGCGCAAAGTTTGCCCTTTTGCGGCTCCGACGCTTCGATCGAAAGTGTTTTGAGGCAGCTGCGGCTGTCGGCTTAAGCGCCAAGAAGAGCGACAAGCAAATGGACCGCCGGCAAATTTCTCGCCGTGCTCGTTGGTGGGATGTTGAGCCCTCTTTACTACCGCAGATGTGGAGTCGTGACGACCTAGGCAGCATCGACAAGGAGCGCCTCTGCGATGCTGAGAAGGGTCTCGCGGTCGTTGAACGGAGTGAGGACCCCTACGACTGGGTGGCGCCTGTCGTTGGCAAGGAGTACTTTCTCGTCATGATCAAAAAAAAGACACTGAAGGGCCGCGCCGCCAATGCTCTACTGGAAGACGCTGTCGGAGATGCTCCCGATGACTCATCACCAGCGGAGGACTACGCTGTCGGAGATGCTCCCGATGACTCATTACCAGCGGAGGACTCGGTAGTGGGCCAGGATTCATTGGCGACAGAGGCCGCCGGTGAGAGCCTCACGGAAGGCCCGACGCTTCTGGAGGCGGCACGTTCGACGAAGCGCCAGAGCACGGCAACAAACATGCGGGAGGCTTCTGATTCAGCAGGGCCCCGGGATGGAGTGGCGATGGAAGGTAGCAAGAAGGCGCGGCTCGATTGAGAGCGAGCCTCGGCGGTGGAGTTTACTCTATCTCGGGCGATGTGCCCGAGTCTTGAGACCGTAGCAAGTCACTTGGTCTCTTTTTCTGCACCATCGCACAAACCTGCGCTGAGGTTGATTAGTACAGGAAAAAATCTGTAGGCTGTTGCTCTCAATTTCTGAAAGATGTAAATGCTTCCACTGCACCAGAATACCAAATGAAGAAAAGCTCTTAGGCCATTGCCTCCAGCGTTTTGAAGCTGTCGCACCAGTGAAATTAGTACACGACGCGAGAGGCCGTCGCCCTCGTTCAGTTTTTTCTCCCCTCTGCTTTTTTTCATCTGAGCCCCATACTAGACTTGACGCAATCGGCAAGCCCCCCTGCATGCTTGAGCTTACTTGTTTCATCTTCCCCCCAGTTACAACACAGGCCCACCCAGTCGCGGAAGATCTTCCTGGAATGTGATGCATTTCGCCCGCGACTCAGATCAATTGGATCCGCTCCAAAGCTCTTAGAAAAATGACCGCGGTCATTTTTGTCTTTGGCGCAAGTTCTTCTAGTCAGATCCTTATGGGCGTTCGCTCGAGTTCTTTGCCAAATTTTTTTGATCTGTCGGGCGCCGATTGCAAATCGGTACCAATTTGCAGTCTTGCGACTAGGATCCACCAAAATTCTTCGAGTCGTTTGCTTCTTTCTGCATGGGGTTGCGCTTTCTTTCTAGTTTAGTTCTCCTCTGTTTCTGTCTTCGCTTCTTATTGGTAGCGTCGCAAATATGTAAGAACGAGAACCACAACCAGCCGCGAAGGATGCTGGCAAACTAATTTGCTGCCGTGGGAATTCCTTAAAGCTAACGCGCATAGGTGTGGCGTTTTTATCGTTTTTAATTGGTGGGCATTTCGCTGAGCTTTCATGGCTTGCGTGTGGTTAAGAATCGCAAACGCACTCCCCTGAAGGTCCTAAGTTACTAACTTTTGAAAGTTCTCAAACTTGTCCCAAGTGGTTCGAAAGGAGGCTGGGGACCAATTAACTTTAGTTGGATCCTTATGGTGGTCCGGATGATCAGTGTGGTTTTTTTTAAGGAATCCCGTGGGGGTCATGCAAATTCGTCCAAATTTGCACGACCTCCCCGAAGAATTTGAAAAAATTTGACGACTTTCATAGATCTGCATGGGGTTCCGTCTTTGAAGTGTGTTAGTTTTCTCCTCTTCTTTTTTCTTTTAGCCATTAGGAGGCAAAAGGTAGCGGCCTTTTATTTCTCCTTCTCATTTCGAGCCATTTTGGCTCAAGATTCGAAACCTTCTAGACAGGACTCGCTTCGGCCTAGTTGCATTTGGTAAGAGATTCGAAACGTAACAGCGCGAATTGAGTTACCTCAAGACAACCCCAGGCGTCCCCTTTTCTTAGCGTGTGTATGTTCTTTCTTCTTTAGTAGTGACTTCGGTCCTGGGGTGCTGCAATAAATCGTCTTTCATGAGCTTAATCCGTGCGCAGGTCAGTCTCTTTTTTATGTGGCGCGGCAGGTCGCTGCTGTGCTCTTTTTTTTGCTTACAGACAGTCTTCGCTCTTGTGTGCTGCTAGCGTAGTTCTTCCCCTTCACTGAAAGACTCGGCTGGCTTTTGACGCTGTTGAGATTGAAGTCTGTGCCGCTTTTATTTTAGTCTATTAGGCTTTGACTCTGAAGCAAGGAAAAAATGGCCCACAGTCGTCTGCAGTTTGGTGCAGCTGCCGCGGGTGGTGATGGGTCTCTGGGCCTATCAGAGGCGCAGACCGACCTCGCAAAAATGGCAGGCTTGGCGCTCCGTAATGGTCGCGTGTTCTTGGCAGAAGTGGGCTGCGGAACAGGAAAGACGAGGGCGCTTCTAGAGGCTAGCGCAGGTTCTGGCGCTGGTGTCGTGGTCTATGCGACTCGAACGCGACAGCAAGTTCGCAGCGTGCTCTTGGAGTCAAAAAAGCTTGACAGAATCGAGGCGGTCCCTTTGTGGTCGCGCCTTTCGGCGTGTAAAGTCGCGGAGATAGTGGAAGAAGCGAGGAAGGCGACCACACACCTGGCACAACAAGAAGCCATGGCGCGCCTTTGCACCCATTCTTGTGTGCATTACAACCCATCGGCCGAGGGCCTCTCGCGGATCGAAGACCTCGTCCCTGACGTTGAGGACTTGCCACAGTATCCGGTCTGCATGTGGCGCCGCAGCCAGTTGCAGCAGAAAAAGAGAACAGCCCCAGGCATTCGCTTTCTTACATTGGTGCTCGCTTTCTCTCTCTTTGTGTTTTTAGTCGTAGATCTATCACTCGCGCGCTGCGCTATTAGTCCACGCAGCAGGTAGAGTCTGCACCGTGGCAAGAATTTGACTTCCATTCGTCATCGTCTCTCTCCGGCTCCCTTCAGGTAAGGTGAAGGTCTTGGTGTGCACGCATAAATACTTCGCGCTCATACAAGCGTCCAAGCATTGGCGAGCGGTGATTATCGACGAGGCCCATGCTTTTTTGACGAAAGACGGCGACGATGACCCTCTCACGCTGCCCAACCTCTTCGGCGCTGTGCTAGTTTCGGGGACCATGATTCGACAAAACGAAACGGGAGAGCCTTACCAGTTTGACAAAATAAAGAGCCTCTACCGTGGAGGCAGTCGGGACGTGGTGACTTTTACTGAGTATTGCCAGTATTCTTTTATGGCTCGAGATGGCATAAGAGGACTGCGGGGAAGTATATACATATCTACTGGGCGCCGAAGGCGCTGGGTGAGTCTTCTCGTCATATTCTTCAGAGTTCAAATTTGTTCGTGGCATGAGTTTCAGTAAGCGCCCAACTCTAATTTTTATCCGGTGACTGTTGACGGTCGTGTCTCTCGGTCGACGTCTGTCGAGGATATCGCCGCGAATATCCTCTCGCACACGATGGAGGCGACTCCGCAACCCCTTTCAGGGAGAGGCCCCAAGGGCCTACTGGTCTTCGCCGCAAACTACAGCTTCGCCAAGGTCTTAGGCGATGCTCTGAATCGAGTTGATGGCAACGGCGTAGTAATCTATGAGGAGCCCTCCCAAGCTGGCGCCTCAGTGTCTGCCTTCAGGAAAGCTTGTCGGCAGGGAGTCCTCGGCGAGCATGTTTTTCTGGTCTGCTCTGCCCGGGGCAGCATCGCAGAAGGGACCAATCTCGACGTTCAGGGCGTTTTCGTCGTTGGTCTGCCGTATGCCTTCGACAGCGGACCCGACTATGATGGTGAAGACCGACTGGCGATTTGTGTCCGGCAGATTCTCGGGCGGGTGCGCCGGTCTTCCGTGGACAATGGAGCTGCGTTCTTATTGGACCCCCGTTGGGTTCCAAAGAGGTCCCTGCTGAAAGTCGCGGCAGAGGACTGGAAGGTCGTCATGCCTTAGAAAACTTGGGTGAGTAGCTAGGCGTCTGAGTAAGCGAAGACGCCCTCAAGTATTCGAAGTTCGTTCCCCCACATTCATACACTGCAACCCCTGACAACGCCCCCACCATAGCGCTAGAAGCTCGCGCTCTGAATTATTTCGACAGACTATTTCCGTCGCCTGTGGCTCAGGCTCTGATGGCTTATCATGTTTCATCCCTCGGGATTTTCTTGTTGAGTGGTCCAGTGCGTATTAGCGGGGAGAGCGAGGCGCTCGGTTTCTATTCCCTCTGTTTCTTGCTTTGCCCTTGCTTGTCTGTCCGTCTTCCTTGGGATGTCAGTCTGTCGAGAGCAGGGAGAGGAGTTGGAGCGCGGTGTCCGTTTGCTGTTTGATATCAAAGGCGGGCTTTTCTCTATTTCGTCGAGGGTCTTCTTCTGTCTCGAGATTCTTTGATATCAAGGCTGCAGCCCTTTGATGGTTCTACTTAGAGAAAAGGGCTAGGGTTTTCTCTATTTGAATAGAGAAAAGGTCGGTTATCTTGATGCTTTCTGTGGTTGTCTTCAGCGGTGTTTTGAGGGTGAGTGTGTGTGAGTGTATGTTTAGGTGTGTTTTTATGTATTAAGTGTTTTTGATGTTTGATAATTGATTTGATATTTGCTTTGATATTTTCTAATTTTTTGATTTTTCTAATTTTTTTGATATCAACTTGATATTTAGAGAAAAGGTAGTATTTTAGAGTTTTCTTGAGGGAGGATGGAAAACTAGAAGAAAGATGCAGAAAGGTATTCATGTGGGTCATAAAATGTCAGGTCTGAGGACAACATCTTCAGGGGGGGGGCAGAGGTAGAGGACAGCGTCTTCAATATATTTACATGCCCAGAGAGAAAGCAGGCCCACCAGGGGCCCGCTGCACTGGGCATAGGTTCGCAACTAGACAGATAAGACCACGGCGCAAGGTGGCTACGGGTAAGCTAGGAAGCTGGCTTAAGCAGCTGCCGAGCTAGGTCTCCTCAAGCAGCTACCAAGCTAGCTCTGGCCAAGCAGGTAGCAAGCTAGCTATGGCCAGGCAAGGAAGTAGCTAGCTGGCTAGGTAGAGCTGGGCAGCTACTTAATCTGCCCGCTAGCTGTGGCGCAGCAGCTAGCAAGCTACCTACGGCTAACCGAAGCAGCTAGGGAGCAAGCTAGCTATGACTGAGCAGCTAGCAAGCTACCTAGCTATGTCTAAGCAGCTAGCAAGCTAGCCATGGCTAACCAGCTAGCAGGCTAGCTATGGCTAAGCGCCTAGCAAGCTGGCTACGGCTCATGTAGCATGCTAGCTTCGGGCAAGGGGCAAGCTAGCTAGCTAGCTGGCCATGGCTAAGCTAGCAAGCTAAGGGCTAAGGCCCTTAAGGGAGGGCCTATTATTAGACCAATTCTATAACAGCTAGGGCTAGGCTCTAAGGGAGCTCCTTATAATAGAGTCAGGTAAATAACGGGTTTCGGGTTGCTCGAGTTGCGACGGGTTGCTCGAGTTGCTGAGGTGAAGGGCTTCCCACTCTGGAACGAGTTGCCAGAAGAAGCCCGGCCCATCAAAATGGGCGAAGCGGGGCGGTGTGGGCGCAGAAGTGCTCGCTCGGCATGCTGGGGGCCGTCTTCGGGACCTACTTGCTTCGCAAAAGACGGCGGGGGAGGCGGGGCCTCCTTCTGTTTGGGGTCGATATTGGCGCGCAGCTCCCCACTCGGTGGCGCCGAGCAAGTGCTTCGCCGCCCCTTGTGGTATGGGTGCAGAGCTTCGAGTCGGGGCCGGGTTTTCGCCCCGCTGTGTTGCGGTGTGGGTGGGGAGTTCTTGCCGGGTTGGGTTTGTAGCCGGCTTGCGGCTGAAGGATGCGGCGGCAACATGGAGGAAAATGCGGCGAAGGCTAATGTGGGGACGGGTAGCGGTGGGCTTGGTTTCACACTGGTGCGCGGCTGGGCGGGCTGGTGTGGTACATGCCACACCCCCCAGGGCCCCCGCGTTGCATTTTTGCAATCAGCTGACTGCCCTCACTTGGTTGCCTTCCCAATGTGGCTGCCCCTCCCACCGGGCTGCCTGGTGAAGCGTTCTTGTTCTCTACTTCAACACCGGGCGCAGCGAAAAAATTTCCATGGGCAACCCGAGCAACCTGAGAAACTCGACCCGATATGGGTCAAAAAAAGCCTAATTCTATTATAAGGAGCATCTTTGTCCCTTAGGGAATAGCTATAATAACTTTTTATAATAGAAATTCCTTAAGGATAAGGATTTGGATTTCCATTTCTTTAAGGAAGGCTCTAAAGAAAATGCGGTCGATTGCTAATCCTATAAATACTAATGTCCGCTACCTGGTGTACTGGCGACCCCATTTATTTTGTAGAAATCGATACTATTACCGAATCTTCCTTCACTACATCGTTCGACGGGTTCAACATGATTATTTCAGTGATCCTGCTGCTGTAGTTCTACTTGAGTCTTGTCATTATATGAGACTGACAATTAAAAGAGTTATAATGGTCAAAAGATTTCGGAGAGGTTTTTCGAGGGATTATCGGGGGGAGAAGGGGGGGCCCTAGGGGGGGGGCTTGGGCGGGGGTAGGGGGGGCCAACCCCTGCCCAACCCCTGTGCCTGTCCAACCCCTGCGCGACCCTCTTCGCAAGACCGCAAGCTTGAAGCCGCTTCTCCCAAACCCCGCGGCAAGTCCCAAGCGCAACTCCCCCGGATACATTCCCCCCCCGCCGCGAGGCAAGACGTGTGGGCTTGAAATGCAATAGCGCGAGAAGCAAGTGCGCGACCTACTTGACGCCGATGCATGCCGACCGACTTCACGACCGGAGGAGGACACTCATCAAACACGCGCGACAACCCTGCAAGAAAAGCAAACCC